ATGTAACAATGGAGGATTGGGGCAGAAGAATCTACCTTCATAGGACATTGTCAGAACTCCATGACAAATTTTATGGGTCCAGGTGGGCGAGTGGAATGTGAAAGGGGTTTACTGCTGAACGTAAATGAATGAAAGTGGTGCAGATGTTCTGACAAAAGGAAACTGATCTTGTCGGTAACTGAGACACTAAACTTCTATTTGGAATGGAGCAAGAGAAAATGTGGTACTTATGAAGAAAGATAAATGTTAAGGAAAAGAAATAATGATTACATACATGAGACAAAGGGCATTAAATATGAGCGAGTCTTAACTGTTTATACTGTAATAATATGAGTGGTGTCAAGTGAACCTGTTAGGGAGGCCAAAGGAACAGATGCAGGAATAGTGAGAAGATGTACAGTATGTCCTAAGGAAATGGATGCCTTACCTCAAGTACATATGCAAGATGGCAACAAATAAGATTTTGTTTTTGTTTTTCATTTAAATGCTGTAAATATGCTGAATGTGAAGGCAGTTATGACACAAACTGCAAAACCTAATATGTGTTGTCAGGGTTGTTCAGAGTAACAAAATGTTAAAGATCTTGTGACAAGAAAATATGACAGGTCCTGGTGTAATATTAAAGTACAAAATGAAGAAATGGATATTATTAATAAGTTTAAAATATGAAAACAATGGCTAGAAGAAATGTGATGCTAAGACTAATCATATAAATATATTAGTTATTCTAGGACAAATTTATCATCATTCAGACCTTTGCTAAAAGCCTCACAGTAACCCTTACAAAAATTCACCACTCGGTGAAAAAAAATTCTAAAAATACTGGAGAGGACGTCCATTCAAAGATAACAATGTAGCATTACCCAAATATTACAAGAACAGTACCTTAGCTACAGTACTGTATGGAGACATTTGTAGACACGGATACAGGAATTCCGGGTGTATCATTTTACCAGGTGATTAATTATTTATCGTTTTCCTTAGTTAACCAACACATGGGTGGTCAAGATCACAGACAGTACACATCACCTGCAGCTATATCAGTCCAATTGCTCGGTTATCTCAATAACTAAAAAAAAATTCTGGGAGTAGAAATAAACAAGGTATTCCCTGTGTATTATGGCATCATGCACTGTAGGTAGAAAGAACTGATTTAGAATAAGGTACAGTATAAGGTGCACATAGGAGCTACAGTAGATGGACCCCAAGAGGTAAAATGGCTAGAGGGCTCAGGCTCATAAATCTCTCACCCAGTTATCTTTATTGAAGTATGTGATCACTAGACGACTATACAGGAGCTCCTCTACTTAAGAACGTTCAACTTACAAACTTTCAGAGATACAAACATCATCACTGGGGAGGGCTACCTGCCAGAACAAGTGCTTAATGTGGATGAGATTGACTTATTTTGAAGAAAATTCCAGATAGAACAAACATTACCTAAGAGGAGAAGGGTGAGGCAGGTTTTAAGGCTGTATGAAAGGGTATAGCTGTACTAAATATCCATAATCTTTTCATTTTTTACAATATGTATAGTATCTACAAGAGTAAAGTTGGACTTACAAACAAGCCTCAGGAACGTGATTCGTTCGTAAGTAGAGGAGCACCTATACACTACCACATGAATGTGCATATACAGTGGCCTGCAATTATACCAGGTACAGTCGTTGGCACATTATGTGAGATGCGACACCTTGGTGTGTGTATACATTGCAGTATATCCATCTGAACGCCATGAAACAGCCTCTTAATACCAGGCCAGACTAAGGTATATACCAAGTAATGCTCTTCTTATCTAACCTGAATACAGTACCACTTTACTGATTCTGTTCTGGTTAAAAAAAGACAATTTTATTCAGTCGAGAGAAAAACCCCAGGTCCCAGTGGGATATGTGGATACCTCGACTTGAAGTTAAAACATACTGTACTAGTAATTGCAGGGCCCAACCCTCACAGGTCAGAGAACATTCCTCCTACCCTCTCCCTGGTGCAAGTACCATCGCCACTGTCCAATCTTATTGCACAAGATGGATCGGGCTCTTGTCAGACAACTTTTCCCTACCCATGACTTTTGAATTCTAATACTGTATAAGAAAGATGTCAGTTATCAAAATCATCAAAGTTATGGACATGGCTATCATTAGTGGAACAACACTAATGACTATCAAACAGCTTGTGACATCAGCATTACTGCAATCTATCACAAGTAAAATAAAGTTAGGGAGACAGCCAATTATGGGTAAACCAAGGTGTTGTCTGATCCCTGAATTAGTGCAACCTTCCTCCTTCCCAACCCCCACCCTCCCTGTCGCCCTACATCACACCACCTCGTCACCACCACCAGCCCACTTTTATCAAATACTGTAGTAGGCAATGAGATTACAGTATGTTTGGTAATCAGAATAAAATCTGTAGCCAAATAAGAAGTACAGTATGAGTATTCTTAGATAGAGGAGAAATCATTTCTTAACACCATTATCTGACCACTATAAAGAGGTTGCTTCTGCCCATTCACCTCAATATACTTACTACAGAGTCAACAAACACACTGCTGTCAATTCTCACAAAATCTGCCAATCACTGTACCAGGTAACTAACTGTACATACTACTTTTGAGGATAATTCTTATCGTAAGCCAACCAGTGCGACAGACATGACAAAAAAAGGAAAATGAAAGAAAAAAACAACAACAACAATTACCTTACTGAAGGTACTCAATACTCCATGAATTTTGATAAACAAGAAAAAAGTATATTAAATGTGCATGAAGAACTTGTCCCAAATCTTCAGTATACAGTATAGTCTCGGTTTATGCGGTCAATTACACCCGTGGAGGTCCGCGTAAAACGAGAAAGGCGTAAACGAAATAACAGAACATAAGGGATTAATTGAAAGAGAGACTGGGCCAACCCCCCAGACTACCCTTTTTCCGACACACTACGTAACTTGTAGTAAAAATAACATCTTAATTTTATGATGGCATGCACACACAATAATATAAGGTTTTTTAACACTTACGTTAGTAGAAGAGATGGCTGGGCACACGGGGATGGGGGGTTGGTTCCGAGGCAGAGGGCAGATTATTGGCCCTCACCTGTATCACCTGTATCACTGCCTCTTTGTCAAACCCCTCAAAGTCCATATCCTTACTATCATTGACTTGGGTTGGCTGTGGTGGGTGGCGGGTGAAAAACTCGGTAATGTTTTGTTGACTGGGCGACCTAGTGCGCACCCTGCCTGCGCCGCTTCCCGCGTAAATAATAATTGCTGGTCGGGCCAGGTGCCGCGTAAATGACCAACCGCGTAAAGGAAATCCACGTAAATCGAGACTATACTGTAGATGCAAAGATCAAGTTTTCCAAGGTACAATAAGGAAGAAAAATTTAATGGAAGATATAGGATAAAATATTAAGAAGTAAAAATAATACAGTATAGTTTTGATTTACGCGGTCAATTGAACCCGTGGAGGTCCGCGTAAAACGAGAAACGCGTTAACGAAATAGCAGAACATATGGGATTAATTGAAATAGAGACTGGGCCGACCCACAAACTCCACTTTTTCCGACACAATACGTACGTTGTAGTAAAAATAACATCTTAATTTTATGATGGTATGCACACACATTTAATATTTAAGAGAAATATCAATAATATTAGGTTTTTAACACTTACATTAGTAGAAAAGATGACTGGGCACACGGGGATCTGGGGTTGGTTCCGAGGCAGAGGGCAGATTATTGGCCCTCACCTGTATCACTTGTGTCACTATCCACCACAGAGGCTTGCAGGGCCTCTTTGTCAAACCCCTCAAAGTCCATATCCTCACTATCACTGACTTGGGCCGGCTGTGGTGGGTGGCGGGTGAAGAACTCGGTAATGTTTTGTTGACTGGGCGACCTTGTGAGCACCCTGCCCGAGCCGCTTCTCGCGTAAATGATGGAATGAACTGTGTAAATAAAAATTGTCGGTCTGGCAAGATGCGGCATAAACGAAATCCGCGTAAATTGAGACTATACTGTATATGGAAAAGTTGCAGGACAAAAGTTATCTGTGATTATATATATACAAAAGGATGAAAGCATCAAGAGGTAATCAAAACCATAAAAATATTCTATTTAAGTGAGACTAACATGGCATGGGCAGATGTCAAAATTGTGGCTATGTTGGGAGACAAAAATCAGTCCACAAGGTCAGTCTATACTTCCCAAATTACCACAGACCTGATGGATAAAGGTGAAGGTGTTTGGTTCAGTGGAAGAACCAGTCATGGAGATCTGAGAAAAGAGACTGAAAGAAGTAATTAAGGTACAGTACTAGCGGAGGTTGGGAATATCTGACCCTTAAGCCAACATGTGCATGACAGAGTGAATGTAAAGAAGTGGGCACAGCAAGGAATTGCACAAGTAGGGGTATAAAGGACATGGTACTGTACTGTATTATATGGACACCATTTACATGCACTGTAGTACATTTTCACATGGCAGCTTCTTGGTAACTGAGATATGATGCAGTCAACTCTATTATATTTACTACTTCTGAATAAAGTGGAATTCAATGTTCAATCATTCAAATTTAACCCCACCTGAAGACAGGTGTACGGTACTGTAATTGTTTTGAGCCTCTGCATGCCCAACCCATCTCCAGTCAACAATAAAAATCCCAACAGAGATAAATATTTTTTGAAAATTAATAAACTCAAATGCTATGTTAAAACCTTGTTTAAAACTTAAAGGGCCACACTCACATCATAACTACTGTACATTCTAAGACCTTCATGACATGAGATTAATGTTAGTCGATAATGATGGGTGACAAAAATGCAAAAATTTGGAAAATCTCTTGCAAATGACTTTCCATGCTCGGAATGTCAAAATTAATTAAATCCAAAGCCAATGATTTTGGTCACTATGATATAGTATATGATGTACTATAAGTTACACCTACATTTGCAGAAAAATGTAGTCAACGGTATTACATCCAAGGTCTTTCAACAATGGTAATTTCTGAAATTATTTTATTTTAATATCCATGATATTCTGAACTTGGTTAAAATATGAGAAAAAAATTATCCCAGAACATCATAAAATGAGTAGTAGAGGATAAGGGCATTCTCTTTTGGTTCATATTTGGCTTTACTGTACCACATGAACTAGTAGAACTAAAGCTTCTATTGGGTACTTGCCACTTTCAAAGGCTTAAGCCTTCTGGTAAGAAATGGAAAGTGACCATCCCACAGCAGCTACTTAACAAACTTTCCAATGAACTTTATGTCTTCATTTAAGGTACCTCAAGGAGTTCATAGTCTAGTTTATAAATTAAACCACCTTAAGCAAAGATTCTCAGTTTACATATACTCATAAAAATTAAATATCATACATTCATAATCAATTATATTATGTTTATTTCAGATATAAAATTATTCACTTATATTCTTGAGTCATGCTTCTGTATCACTTAAAACTTGCAGAAAGTAAACTTTAGAAAAGCTATGAAAAGATCAGTTTACAGATCTTTTTTTTTAATATTCTTGTTGAGTATCACGTGAAGATACTGATATCTTTCATTCAACTACAGCTACAAAGAAATGAATGTACAACTTCTGGTGGGAATGTTCTAATAAATATTTCACCATGAATTCATGAAACAAAATTCTACATACATATCTTTAAATAGTTATAACTTTCAAAATATTCACAAAAAAAAAGTAAAACAGAAAGCATGGTCAAAGAGGGCTTACCAGAATTGCTAATAATAATGACTAAAACCACAAAAAGTAAACAAAAACTCAGCACATATCTTTGGTGGTAAGCAAAAAAGGTAAATTTCTTTAAATTAAAAATAAAAATGTCTAAACCATAGAATACTTTTACCTAAAATATTTTTATATTTCGGAAAAAAGGTCAAATTCTTTAAGTAAACAATAAAATGTCTAAACCATAGCATATTTTAACCTAAAATATTTTAATATTTTTTGAACAACCTCTCATGGCAATGTATCAGTGCTAAAAACACTGCTTCATGTCCAGTGCAATAACACACTAATAAGTCAGTGACAGACAGATGAACCTGTTTATCAGACGAGTACATGACAAGTTAAAATACTTTGACAGGTTCCATGAATCAAAAACACCTTTGTTAAACAGGATATTCACATAGTAAACATCTCAACCGTCTCTGATTCTGAGGGATCACTGGGATCTGTAAACAGCTGCAAAGGTTCTGCTTTAACAATTGAACCTTTACCACCTAAGCTATCTCCACCAAAGCTCTCACTTCCAATATGTGAATGTTCAGCTGCAAATTGTGCATATTCATCATCTAATTCCTCTTGTCCCAAATGAACATCTTGGAGACCTGAAGATACAATGCGGGCAGTAGTAACCATCGGTGTTCCATTAGTGGTAATGGTGTTGCCGATGTTAGTAGAGGTAATCTGTTGATGCTGAGATGAGATTGGAGTAGTGGTCAGGAAAGTATGTGCAGTAGTTGTAGCAGTAGTGGTAGCAGAGTTATCCATCACTACGGGGATAGCATAATACACACCCGTCGTGGCTGAGTCTTCACCAGCCACAAGGATGGTGGTGCTCCCAGAAACATTACCTTCTAATTGATCCATCTCCTCTGCAACCTGTTGGAGAGATTTAATAGTACAACTTTGTTCAAAAGATTTTGTTTGCATAAGAAATGCACCTATTGCCAACAGCAAAACAGATACAACTGCAGAATTATATAAGTGAAACAGTTGCATGCTAGAGAAGGTTAGCAGACACAGTACCAACATTGCAGTAGCTGCAACAACATACAAGTAACAGGAGCAGTAGCTTTGTGTTAACATACTTCTTTTGCCATCTGAAGGACACTCTTTTTTGCAGGTGTATACTGTAGGCAAAACAGAATGATGGTGTTAGTGCCTACTAAAGCAATTTATGCCTTTTAGGGTGTTTTCGGGTGTGTGGGTTTTCCTACCGAGATATTCTATTTTACTAACAGAATTTTGATGTTTGCACACCAATTACATTTTGTAAATTTAATGTCTACTCCAAGTTTTTTCTAGCATATTAGCCATTTTTCAAGGTCCCCAAAACACAGCCAACCAGCTTCACCATACTCAAAGTTGAAAGAGCCAGTTTCAAAATCATTAAAAGTTGAGAGCCTCACTAAATACCATTATTGTTGAATACCTTTATTCTTTATCCCTGTGTTCCAAGTAAATATCCAACACAACTTCTGTACAGAATAATGTAAAAACCCAGTTGTTGAATAACAAACTCAAATTATATATTTTTATAATTTTCTTCCCCAGTAGTATTACAACCATGATGCTAGGAGCAGCAGTTGATGGTGTTAACAACAGTAATGTCTCTGTTGGCTTGAATCCCTCTTAACCGGAACTCTACGATAGCCGGAATTGAAATTTTCTCAGAAAATATTTCCTAAAGCTAGAATTTCTGAAAAATTATGGTTTTGTGAACGATTTTCAAGAGGCACACTTTCTGGAAAATTCAGAGAAAATTTTCCCAGTACCTGGAAAATTCCAGGGATGAGGGATTTTTTTTCAGCTTTGAGAGATGATGAAATGAGCAAATTCTGGAACATCCGAGAACATCATTCCATTACCCGGAAATCTCTCATTCCCAGAAGTGCTCTGCACCAATTGTTTTGGCTAATGGAGATATCACTGTATTACATTAGTTGCACATGAAGAATGCAAGCAACTACAGAAGCAAGTTATAAACTACAGCAAAATTAGAGCTAGAAAGAGAAGGTAGATTAGTGGTTACCATAACCTAGAGTTTGATGGCAGTAAACCATTATTATGGTAAATCTCTTCCTGCCACCACAGAACACATTTACAGCAATATATAACTTTTTTTCTTCCATTAATAAAACACACATATTTAAAGTCTTCAAGTCCATGTCCATGATACCTGATGCTGAATACATCCATTCTATCTTTCAATATAGGCCTGAAGCATATTGTTCACCTGTATGTGAGAGTATAACCTGTAACAGTTATACGCAACGAAAATATCAAAATGGAGTGAGAACTGATATGTATGAGTGACTAGAGAACAATGGTGGTTATTGAGTTATTCTTGAGAAGGGTGTTGCTAATGAGTAGTAGGACTCTTATTGTGAAAGGGGAATAGCACAGTATATAAATGAAGAAAAAAAAAGCCAAATTTAAGGCAAATTATCTAAAGCCAACAAAAAAAAAAAAAAATCACAAAGACTAATTTCCTAGGACTGTACAGCACCTGTATCTTAAAACTAAATTATCAATAAATCTAAATGAACTTTTTTTTGTTAGATATGACCTAAAAGTTGTCTTAAATGACTGGAATATGGCATAATCAAGTAGCACCACTGGATTGGATTACTGAGAGCACATCTACAATTAGGCTGAGTTCTCCCATGCATCCAATATGTTGCTATTTTAGTATAGTGCTTACTGTATATACAGTAGACAGCTATGATAAAAAAAATCAAACACAATGTTGGGGAAACAGACAATTTATAACTTATTGCAAAAACAAATTTAAATCACAGGTAAAATTTGTCTTGCAAGTCTCTTCATTTCCCTATAAACACTAATCAAAAGATCAAACTGGTAATTATACTTGACTATGTTTGTAAAAAATATTAAAAATGTCATCTGGACAGTTCCACTAAATATCAAGTGTCCATTTCCTTCATTAACCCTCACCTTAAATGCAGACTCCACAATATTCAGTTCTTCCTGGTCCCTCCGCTTTGGCGTGTCTTCTTCTTCCTCCACTTTAACTCCCATCGTTTCAAACGTTGGCTGTGTTGTGGTCGTGGTGCTGTTGACACTTCGTGCTACAGATGAAACTGCTTTACGAATATCACGAAGTTTTCCTGCACCTTTACGTGTAAATGTCCTTGTTGTAGTTACTGAAGTGGAAGCAGTGGGTTGTGACATAACCTCTGATACATTAACCTTATAATAATTTAAAGACGGATCCACCTCCTTCACAACAGGAGGAGGTAGTTCCGGTATTTTACCCTCCTTTCTCAATTTAGCAACTCTTGACTTGTACTGGTTATTTGTAAGACCATGTATGGTAGTGTAATGTTCCCTGAGGCCTGCCCTTCCATCTAACATCGCGTTACATATTCGGCATGGTGTATTTTGAATCTCCTGCATGTTGTGCATCGTTCGAAGATGTGTTCGCAGGTGTACCTTCTGTACAAAGCCCTTGGCACAATAATTACAAACAAATGGTCTTTCACCAGTGTGGACTCTGACATGCATCTCAAGTTGACCTTGACTTGGGAAGTTCTTCCCACAGATGTAACAATTGAGACCACCATCTTCCTCGTGCATCCGTACCATGTGGGACTTCAGGGAGTCAGTTCGTGTGAACACCTGGGAAAAAGAAAATTATAGTAAAAAAGTTTTGGGAAGTCCGTTTTTATTCTCATTTGGAGTAGCAGAACAATAAAAACTACCCCAAATACTCTTAAAGGCTCATAGTTAAACAGCTATAAAAATCAAATGGAAGGGAAAGGGATGCATCAATCAATGACCATTGCTGAGCAAGCACACTAAACCATCAAACCTCCAAAATGGCTAAACCCAATCTCCAAATTTTATATTACTCCAGAAAGAGCATAAATCAAGTCCTCCTGAGCACTCTAATCTATGATGGTGAAAGGAGATGAACGTTGATAGAACAGCAGTGAAAAGTAAACAAAACCAGTCTTGCATATATGCTAAAATTAGGTACAGAATGTCCCCAACTTACAAACGCCTGCTGATACGAACGGGGTTAAACTTGAAATTTACAGTACCCTGTATTTTATTTACCTGATGACTTATTTTTCACTTTCATTTACTGTACTGCATTTTGTCATTATATTTCTTTTGTTTTAAATTAAGTGCTTAGAAAATGCCAGAAATTGATGGAGAATTCTGTCGAAGACTGGATCTGGATTTGAAAGATTCTGTTGGCTTGTAAACAATTTTGTTATGACAGGCTATAGCCGGTCAAACTCCTTGAAACAAAATTTGCTTCAAAATATAATGAGTAATTACAAAAAAATAGATAAACAAATAAAATAAAAACATGAATAAATTACCTTAAAAGATATTGAAACAAAAACAAAAATTATCACAAATAAAAATAAAGTTGTAGATTATTTACCATCACAAAATGCTAGAAAATTACCCTGTTAACAACCTTGGATTTGATGACCAGAGTTGATGTAAGTATAACATGTTACTGACAATTAAGAGTACTGTATTACTAAACCTATTTCAAACTCTTAATCATGTATCCCAACAAAAATGTTAAGGAATTTTTACCTTCTGGCAGACAGGACAAGTAAGATTACTTGACTCCTCATGGTCATTAACTAGATGCTGGTGTAGGACATGGCGCTGCGGGAAGGTCTCATCACAATATGGACAAGGAATATCTTTTACTTCTAAATGAGATTTCATATGTACACGCAGCGTTGTAATGGACCTGGAGAGAAAAGAAGAATTACTTAAAACACAAATCCTTTCAACACCGTTTTTTTCCAACATGTATATTGCAAAAGCTCAGATAAACAGATGGTAGTTGAAACTTGAGAATTACATTCAGAAATATTTAAGAGAGTTCAGAAAGTTAACTCTGTATATTAACTCAATTTATTTATGAGAGTAAAGGGCAACAGGAGTAGCTATAGGGGTAGATGTTGAGTTATAAATAAAGAGAAGGGCAGAGTGAAGGAGATGTTAACAATTTGCTATAGGTTATCATAAGGGTTTAACAAACAATTTCCATATGAAGCATATTAGTTCTTCTACAAGTCCCATTCCTTATTTTAAAACTAGCTGCAAAGAGTAATGTTTATTAAAAATAAATAAAAGAAAGCTTGCAGCATTCAGCTTAAGATATAAATGATAAAAGAGTACTGTATTTCAAAGCCTACCTGAATTCTTTGCCACATTCTTCACATGGTATACCATTTTCATCATCAGTCGACCGGGGCTGTGAACGTCTGCCAGGTCTTTTGGTCCTGACAGCAGAGCTCTTTTTAAAGTTTGCTGGAAAGTCCATCACCTGTTGTAGGAAACTTCACATGAATCTCGTCATAATATCATGGCAAGCGTATGGTTACACATCACAACCATATTCTCTGTAAACACAAGGAAGTCTTCAGTAGTACTCTGCTGAAGGAAAAAAAAAGGTAAATGTGGTAAAAACAACATTCTAAAAGCAGAGAAAGGAAAATGTGATAAAATTATTTCAAAACAAAGTCTCACATAGTTTATGTAAATGTACAATACCAATCATCAGCAAAAATATGGTACTATGTATGTCCTCAAAAGGGCCAACAATCTTCCCATTAAGATTCCAAGAAAAGAAAGCAAAAAAAAAAAAAAAAAAAAAAAAAGTGGAAATGCTTGTCAAATGTCTGTATGGTTTGACTGCCATCAATAACCTTGATCAGACAAAGAATAATCAAGGAACAGAACCAGTGTACTTAACATATGAAAATGCCCTACAGCAGGACCCCCAGATTCTCAGAATGGAGTTTGTAAGCATCCAAATGTCTACTAGGTTAAGGCTGCAATGGCAGGCAAATAAATAAAGATTTGTGATCTGAGTACTGACAGGACCACAAAGACATAATAGCAATGAGCGAGAAAAGAAAATAATGGCTGAAAACATCTAAATATGTCATTAAATATAGCAAGAACTGTACAGTCATCTCTAACAAAAAATGAATATTGTAGGGTCACTAAGAATTTTACTCTCTTTGGTGCAACAACAAAGCAAGACAATACAAAAGCTACCTTAAATTAAGAAAGAAGAGTGAAGCAAGAATGAATCATCTGCATAACCAGCTTGATTTGAGAACCTAGATCTGCCAATTATAATGACAAAATGTTATATTCTGTAGTGTGTGTACAGAAGACAATAAAAGTTTGAAATTTTTTTTTGAGTCAAATGATGTTATGGTTTAGCTTGGATGGAGAATGGTTCACTCAAGCATGAGGCATCAAAATCCCAGCCAAAAGTCAAATCTAATACTCATGTAACCTGTTATGAACCAATTTCACCTCAACATGTATTGTGGGAAGGTTGACCTCATCTCGCTTGCTGTTGGCTATCTTGGGGAGGTCATGTGCAGACTGGTTCCCCCAACATAAGCCCTACTACTGTTAACATTGTTTTTGAGTCATGCTTACCACTCTTCATAAGCTACAAAAATCCTAAGGAAGCATCATCTTAGCAATTTCAAAAGGATGGGTACTAAGCCATGTGCAAAGACTTTCCAGAGAAGCAGCAGCAGCATCAGCAGCAGATATAGTGTACTGAAGAAAAAGGAATACAACATAAAACACAAGGTACATAAGCATTATTTGCCAGTCAGAAACTAACTTATAACCTGTAGTATTACTCAGGTGTCAAGCATACCCATTAAACTAGTTACCAGTTCATGTACTCAAAACTAAATTATTGAATGTTTAACCGAGCAGCCTGTTTATTTGAATTAACAAAATAACCATTAGCATACACAGTCAGTCTCAAGTTATTTTGACTTCTTGGATCAACTAAAAGACATTCACAATATTTTTGAGGGTGAACACAACATGCATGTAAGTACACTCTCTCCAAAAAGTATCTTTACAATTTTGTGTGACAATATGACAACCCTACCAAGACAACAGGAATCGCAGTGTTCATTTTAAAATTTGTCGGACCCCTCCGTACAGAAACCTTTCGGAACGAGGCATGGGGCAACAAAACTTATTAATATTAAAATTTTCAAACATAACTTCTTGATTGAAATGGAAATATATCCAATAAGAAAGGAACTGATAGACATTTATAAATTACACTGCTTCAAAAATTAGGTATTATCCATTTATACCAAGAGAAGAAATATCAGCCCAAGGGAACAACGTACTCTATCTTGTTTTAATTATTCTTACAAAGACAAACTCAGTCCTCATAAAATGATATAGTAAGGGGCAAAAATAGTTGTGAAAAATGAACAGCAAAATTTGGTAAGCTATACAAAACAAAATCAGAGTGCAATCAAGTGTATCTTAACATTTACTTCACACTATGGGAATCACCTCTCAAAAAATCTAGTGGGATACCAGTTATTTCACTCCCTGTACAGAGTAATAATATTTCCAATAAAAGTAAGTATATGACCCGAGTACAGCATGGTAGTCTTTCACTGACAATAATACCAAAAAGCTGACAATAAAGGTTACAGAGGAGGTATCAATATTATATATTTTGTAATTCTGTAATGGAGTCCACATTAAGAAGGCAACATGACGAGAACAAATTGTGATCCTGTAGTGAAATGAACGTTCAGTAAAACTGGATTCCTTCATGCATGCGACAACCAAACCAACAAAGAAATTAATACAGTAATAAAAATTTTCAAGTACAGTACTGTACTGTCCTCATCACTCAGACATGAATGACAGATAACAAAGCTCATCATGTAAGGCCCTACATGCATCACCCCACCACAAGTGCTGGAACAAATGCTAGTTACACAGGAAGATAGATATTTAACCTATTCTCTACCATAAAACAAAAACAAAGGTAGTAGTACATTACAGTTTAGATTTATGGTACAGAAGGAGTTAAAAAAAAATGACAAATGAATAAAGCACTAACACCGGTACATGGATCGGAAAAAATATTAATACTTACGTCATCCTCTTCAGACAGCTAAGATGGGACCCAAAAATATACCAAAATTACTAAAATTCAAAACAATTTTATGTCAAGCAGTGAAAAATAATACCACTATAAAATGTCTTTCAATATTATCAGTACTGTACTGTACAAACACCTTCATATACGGTAAAAGTTCACAATAAGAACTACATTACTTTGCCAAGATGCGTACTCCAAATAATTAAAGAACAGCGAAAAAGACAAGCGAGTTAAATTGTGTAATATTTAATACAGTATACTGTGTTTTTTTTTCCATCAACTATCAAATTTCACCACTTTCAAGTAGAGAACTATGGCAAAATAGGTATGATCAGCTATATAACATATTATCATCCACATGGTTCATTCTTTGTTATGAACTTAATTTGTCTAGTGTTAGTACAAGAGGAACTTGGAGTATCCAGAGGAAACCTGTGATGTTTGGTAGGACCACATTGGGTAACACCCTCCTCACATGTGTCCAGGCCAAGCATGGATCGAACCCATAAGTGGTGGGAGTAGAAGCAATACCACTGTCCTTTATAGTATTATAAATATCTAACTGGTGAACCTATAGAACAAGTTTGAGCTAATCTGAACTTACCAATATTCTATAGATGTTTAATGAAAATAATGTGTAGAACAGAAATAAGCAAGGGGAGAGAAAAACAAGAGCCCACCTTGAATTAACGATGTATCTAGCACATTTTCGGAAACAATCTAGGCCATACATAGCCTTACCCCTATTTTCATGAGGTTATAGGATTAAGATGCCAAAAACTACTAACTGAAAGTGTGGTAATTCTACAAGCCTCACCTATATACAGTATATATCATAGTTGATCATTTCAAATTCTTTTAACACTCACCTCAATCATTTCTCCTGCTACTTCCTTATCATAGTCCTCTTCTTCTTCCATTATCTCCCTTTTAGTAGTTCTGTCACAGTTGACCTGAAGGTAAACCACAATACCTCTTGTTACATGTTAACCTTCTTCACACACCAAATACCCTATAAAATTCATATATCATATCAAACGACCCTCTATCAACCTAATCATAATTCTATTTCGTTTGTCACAAGCTTTCAAATGCTCTTCAACATTTGGTGGGAATGCACATAACAAGATCACAGTTGTTGCCAAGTATCATTATATTTACTTACCATCATGTTATTAGTGGTAGAGCAGGAGCCGTTAGTTTCACCATTTTCTTCCTCATCCTCCAGAACTTCTTCGTACACAACTTCTTGCACAATAAGTTTTTTCCTGAAAATCACAAGTGGTTTACATACACAGCATAAGAAACTTGGCAAACTAAGAATATATTAAAGTAGAAGAGTTATTGGAGAGACTCGGGGCCCTGACTTGCATGACTGGAATCCCCCCAAAATAATAAAAACAAAAAAAATCAGATTATCCATTAACTTCACAGTGGGCTCTTGAAGCATAACCAGATGATGATAAGGGAACCTTGAGGAAGAAGGCTAGAGAATTTTGCTGCCAAGCATTAACACAGGAACTGTATTGTACTCTAATTCCCATATTTGCTGTCACTAGGTATGAAACACAGATTCCAGGAACAACCCCCAAGATCTAGATCACCTGCAGCAAGGGTCTTTCCCAATGAGGAAATCCAGTGAGTGAGCTGATTAAACCTACAATTAAAAAAGTCTCCTGGCATTCTGTTCTATGTTGCACCATGAGCCCATGTACAACCAAGCCCTGACACATGTAAGGAACAGTACACACTTGTGAGGTAGACTTAGGTACAGCTTAAGAAATCCAGGTTCTCCAAGATGCAAACCCAGGGTTAGTTTGTCCCCAAAATTATACATTGGGTCAATCTTAAGAAGGGTCACAGCAGTGTATATATGCTACTCGTGATAATTATGATCACTGACTTTTAATACAGTAATTTAGAACTGAGTGGCCCAGCCTATAAATAATGAGACTGGTTTATACTTAACTTCAAGAATAAAAAACAATGGCCACATGACACAACTGCTTGAAGTAAGGAATGGGCAGGAAAAGAAAGGCAAGGCAAGAATTTAAGATGTATGACCTGTAATGCTCAACAGGTTATCGTCTGTGGAAGTTTAATATTCCTTGTGTTCAAATTTTGTGTATGTACAGGGGGTTGGGGGTGGGAGGGTAGAAACAGGGAATCGTTAGCTGTCAGTTAAGGGATGATCGTGACCTCTGCCTCTAGTTTTTAATTTCTCAAAGGCAACAGTTGTAACAGGTCTACCAGGTCTCTAATCCACCAGGTTTAGAGACTGTTTTACATAAGTTACCGAGCAAAAAGGCATTAAGTTACAAAAACATATTGAGAATGACCCAGAAAAAATCTTATTGTACCTTATTCGAATATTCTTTTTTGTTGTAGTGGTATGATTGGCTGTGGTTGGACAAATAAAGCCTTCTGGCTCAGAATTCATGATGGTAGGGCCTGTAGCACTTTTTTTGGAAGGAGGAGGCACCATCATCATCTCATCTCCAATGAGCTGAATGTCAATATCCTCTAAATCATCATCTGCATCTTCTGATGGCAGAGTTCTTTTGGACCACCCTCGACCTTTGCCACGACTTTGAAAATATTGTCTGAAAATAAAATATACTTATCAGTACAGTACAATGATCATCACAGTAAATTATTTTTTCTATAATTGAGGGCATACAAATCAATGAAGAGTCAATGAGTGAACCCTTTGAGTCCTATTAAATGGAAATAAGTTTAGTGAAGAAGGTGAAAGAAGTCTACATAAAGCAGTGAAATTAAAATTCCCTTGGTACACAACTAAAAAAACACAAAGACAGTAGGAAAGTACAAATACATAACACATTTTCAATATTATAATATCAGATAATTGTAATACACAGATAAATGAACAGAATGATGATGCTTGTTCATCCTTGAAATTTAAATAAAATGGCACATCACATTGCCTGGCAACACACATATGTTAAAATATGACTGAGTGATAACAGTACAGGTACTGTATGCTGAAAATACAAAAATTTGCAACTCTTGGTGGTGATGATATTGAAGAACTGTACTGTATGTCTACAAGAGTGTTTTGTAATAATAGAATACAAACCGAGGGTTTTTATGTAGTGTGAGAGAAAAATAATTAGTGAAAGCTAAATAACAAATACTTTGTGTAGAAAGTTACTTACAATATATAAAAGTTTTGTATTTGCAAAATATTAACAGTGACAGTAAGTAAGAATAAACCATAATGCTAGCAACAATAACCTTTACACTTTCCAGCTAGGGATTCCCAGTTAGTACCGTAGCATAGATTTGATAATACAGAGTACTGTACAATCATATTTGCTACTCACTGATAGGAAATAATAAACCAAAACCTTCCATGTTGACCCAAGACATGACACGCAACACAAATCTGTCAACCTTAATACATCAAACTCCCACCATCATTAAGTGTAGTAAAAATAAGGCTTCTATAATAATACAAGAGTACTGTATATCAGTGGCCTAAGGATCTGGTCAGTTAGTAAATGGCATACGGTGGTTCTTACCTGATACGCTGTGCTTTTTTAACCGGAGATGGACAGAACATGTCCACAGGTTCAGATTTAATATATACTGTAGAATCAAGTGGCTCTTCTTTGATTTGCACAAAATCTTGCATACTCCGACCTCTCCCGCGTCCTCTGCCTCTGCCCCTACCCCGTGATCCACTTGCTCTTCCACGGCCTCGATTGCGTCGCGGCAGTTCCTTGTGCATCTCTGAATTTGAGGTCAAAGTATGTGTAATAATAAAATATATATAATTCAACATACTGGTATTATTATATTCAAAATAATATAGAAATAATGAAAATTTCTTGCATGAATTAGTGACAATAATACAATTTATCACCAACTAAAATGACAAAAAGCACACAGTTTGTTGATCTATCTTCAATAAAATGGATTCTATAAACTATAATATAAAGCATAAGTTAAAATTTTCCATAAGTATCAATAATATTATACTTCTGCTACATTTCAGACACTTGTACAATGACATTAACCAGATACTGTACAATAAACAAAGTGTTCTAGGAAATTATCTCTGGCTATTTCTCACCTGGCATGTTCTGATGCAGCTGCATGTGTTCATTGAGAAGAGAAACCTTGTTGAACTCCTTCTCACACATGAAACACACAAAGATGCTTCCGTCCTCCATCTCATCATCTTCTACTATGATTTCGGTCCCTCCTCTCTTTTCCATCTTCTAGACATAAAAAATACTGTACTTAGAGAATGTTACATCAACACTACTACACATCATTAATACTAATACTCTTATTATATTGCATTTATTATCCCAGTCTTGTGCAATAATAAACTGTGATTAAATGAAAGAACTTATTACACTTATATTAATCAATATTACACGGTCAATATGAACAACCGGCATCTGCCCAGACACATCACTATTCACCACAGAGGAAATTATTAAACCTCGTGGCATTTCTCCAATTTTGTCAGTCTGAGACTCCAGTACAAATTTTTGGTATACTGTACTGTATTTACCCTCAGCCATTAGATTTTTTACACACTATAGGTAAATGTACCATCATCAAAACTACTGCTCTAGATCATATTCATAACTACCGGGTATTTACTGTACTGAATTAACCTTACTGAATTCACTCTACATGTATTTCTATTCATGTACTGTACTGTATATAAAATATGATTATAAATGTTTTTATTTAATGCATATTTCTATTTATGTAATAAGTACAGGTAGCTTCCCTCGTTTAACAATGGGGTTGCATTCATGATAAACCTAATGTTAAGTGAAATAATTGCTAAACGGGGGATAACAGCAAACCACAGAGGGCGAACAACAGATTCAAACGGCAGGGCAGTAAACACTGAGTACGGTACTCCCTAAAAATAATAATAAACAATTGATTTATTAACACCAAACTTCTATATAAGCGATGTGGTTCAGTTATACAAAAGGTACACCTAATTCGAACAAATCTCAAATTGCATGTATCAAAAATTTAAAAAATTGCTACGATACACAATAAAATTGATATATTACACAATGAGTATCATAAAATCAATAGCACATATCGCTGTACAAAAAATAGCTCCTTCAACACTCAAACCATCCTTTGGGTGATGCAACAGCCAGGCAGTCATCCAGCTGACTCAAGAGACATGTGTATATGCCATGACATCACATCGCGGGAGGGAGCACAGCTGGGTTGGGGAGTTGGCGATGCAGTTACAGCCCACCGCCTCCACACATACGTTCACTTTCCACACATTCACAGCCTACAGTATATGCCATTTAATAAGAAATACATCCAAAGTACAGTAATCAAAATAGCAAATTGAACTTGAGATTGATTCTACTAAGTAATAAGAGTAACACTTAATGACAGAAGTCCAAATGAATCAACTGCCTGATGAAAAATCTTGACAGAGGAAAACTTATTCCTTGTTTGAATAACAATCAAAATCGGGTGGAGGAATTACACTATTCGCATTTGTTGTTCCCTCATTTTTCCCAAGAGCAGGAACGTTTCATGGGCATTAAAGCTATTCTGTTCATACTCACTAGGCAATAGCAACTTTAAGTAATTCTTCATGGACAATGATAAATTAATTTTTCTGTTACATTAGATGTGGTTAGGCAGGTAAAGTTATTAATATTTCAGTATGGATGGGAAGGTCACTAGGAAGTGTTCAACTGATTACTGTTCGTTCAACTGCTCGCTGAGAAGCATGTGTTACCAGTTCAAGCGAAAATATGGCATCAGCAGACGGACGGTGGGCAAGGAACAACTTTAGTTATGGGAAAGCTAAAAGACGAAAATTAAAAAAACAATGGTATATTCTATATATTTTCCATTAGGTATCTGATTAACCCGGACCACTATCATTAAGTAGGTATTATTTTACTTTAGGACAGCGCGCCCGAAAGTTAAAATCTACCTTAACATTTAGATCTCTCTATTCCTGGGGTCACCAAACTACGGCCCGCGGGCCGGATCCGGCCCGCGACGTCAGTTCATCAGGCCCGCCGACGGTACTTGAATTTGCTTGATAAAACGTATGGAACACGAGACGTTGTGATACAATTTAAATTTAAATATTATGTTTAGAATACTTGGAGATCTTCACGCGTGCGGAGACCTCCTGACTGCTATGTGCCTTAAATTTACTATTTTCAATTTTAAATTATTGTATCTAGATTTTCTTGTTTATTGTAATGTTTGCTTATTTCGCGCCATCCCAAGTCCTTCCCCGGCTCGTGAACAGAATGATTATGCGGGCCGCACTCGTCATTCTTTCAGTTATCCGGGCCACTGTGAAAAAAGTTTGGTGACCCCTGCTCTATTCTAAGCATTTTGAACCCCTATATATACCTGGCGGAAATGGATAATGGCGACACAATTGAATTGAATTGTTTTCTGTAGTTTTCAGTCTTTGTCTCTGTGAGATGATGTTACCGCCGCATCATGCATACGCAGTATTGACTTACGTCATCCAGCCGTGACCAATGATTTATTGTTATCATCACGCAAATTTTTTTCGACCAATCACATTTTATTTTTTTCAAAGGAAGCAGCCAGGGTAATTTCATTGACCAGTCTGACAATGGCCGTGGTGGAGGTTAGTTGTCATTCGTGCTCCTACGATTATTTGAAGTTTATTGCCGAATTTTACGAGACGATCATTCTATCCCATTCTTACATACCCCTGGTCCTTCCACTTCTAGGGTATTGTACTTTCGGACATGGGGCACCCCAAAGTTTTTAACTACCGAGACATTTAGGTTAGTTTAAGCTAGGCCTAACTGGGGTCCAGCTAGGGGTTGGGATAGGTTAGGTTAGATGACACATTTTCGTTTTCAACCCCCATCCAAAAAAAAAAAACTTTTTGCCAGGCTCTCCCCCATTACTGTTAGGAGAGGGGGGGCAAAAACGAGCAATTTCCGCCACAAATGAAGGTAAGGTTTGTTTAAAACACACCAAAATACACTGGGAAAAACATATTGGTCAACCCGAAGGGACTCGTGTCCTAAAGTAAAAATTTACCGTTAAGTATTACCAAGAAGAGGATTTAAGTATCCATTTCACTGTCTTGAGTGTATATATTATTAAATCAGTGCAATATAACTACCTTACCAATATCTCTATATGATAGTATACCCTACATGTGTAAAGAAACTGGAAGTATTACTATTATGAATACACAAAAGCATCACTATTACCCCATTTAATTCTATACAACATGAAGCTCTTTTGAATACAATTAATAGTATAGTTGACGACAGGTGACTCCACACATCAAAATGGTTACCTGCGTCATATATCCAACACACCACTAACGAGACTCTAGTGAACAAGACTCCAAGACACACACACCATTCTAACGTAGTCTACACTTAAGTCACAATAATGAAGAGGAATAACAGTAGAGAAGAAAGGTTAAGTCTCCCACTGGTCGATGAAAACCGTACACAGACCCCCACAGCCACCCGCCACTCTCCTTATCACACAACTTCCTTCCATTACTACCATCCTCAACACCACCAGTCAACTAAGGTTACTCTAGGACGGTAAACAAATAACTACTATCAATATATAAAGGTGGATAAAGACTTTGAATTATAAACATACGAAGGAATAATAGAGTTGAGCTTGTATACAACAACCTGAAGCTGGCTCGGTGGTTCCTCCCTGTGGGGTAGACGAATATCGACAGGTATATCAAAGCTGTTGGCCGTATTAACACATATATGTATAATTTCTAATAATATTTTTCTAAATTTTATTACATATCTATGGTAAATGTGTATAATATTTAAGATTACCCTTTTAAAGCGTTCCGTTTTCTTTTCAATTCTTTAAATCATGAAGAAGTTTTACAACAGCATAACAGCAAATTGAATAATGTTCAAATTATTTCACTAACTAAATCGCGATACTGTTTACTTCATAGGTGACATAATCCGACTAAATCTAACGTAAACCTAATAAAAACTAACCTTTAATCCTCGGACTAATTTCAGGTCGTCTACTTAAGAAAGATATCTTGAGACCATGTCCATGATTTTTCTAACATTAGTCATTTTGCTAATTGCATTGACTAAATGTATTGAAAATTCACTAAACACCCACATACTATATCATTTATTACTGATAAGTTTGGGAATGTTAGTTTCTTCTTTCCGGTGTGCAAATACTGTTGCTTTGTTGAAATATAAAATATTAACCAGAATCTCAAAATATATATTACTATATGGCAGGAGTACAGTAAAGTCAACAGAATAAATATCTGCCGATTATCACTACGGCGCAATCAGTTTTGAAAACGAGCTTGAATGTGAAACCATACCTGGTCCTGGTCCTGGCCCTGGCCCTGGCCCTGGTCCTGGTCCTGGCCCTGGCCCTGGTCCTGGTCTGGTTCCCTGTTGTCACAAACGCTGACAACAGGTGTGTGGTGGACGCCGGCTTAGATTGGGGTGTTATGATTTCATTTTGAATTTGTTGAGTAAATTTTCAAACAATATCTACATACTTTCTGAGAGTAACACATAAAGTACTAATAATACTTATTTCCAATGTGATCCTCGTGGCAAATTTTAAAATTACTTGGAGGTGAAAGAAAACAGGATACAGTTATAAGTTGCATTGATAGATATATTATATTGAACATTTATATTTTCTTTTCGTTAGGGTTTGTGTAATTTCAATTGCAATTAAGCCAAAACTGAAGCAACGCGACTCAAACAGCAAATATTATGAATTTATATTATTTTATTAATATAATATTTAGTGTTTTAGGAGTACAGGTTTGTTATGTACAGTACAAGCAATAAATCTATCCATATATTTTCGAGTCCCTTTATATTCATGTACTAAGTCTGATACAAACATTTATACGTATTTTCACTTTAATATAGACGTCATTAGGTAGTGGCGTGGGGTAGAAGTGTCAGTTACACCATATAGATACAAAATGATTCTACAATACCTGAGTAGTCTAGGAAGAAAGAAAATAATTCTCGCCAGCTCATCACCACGTAGAAAAGAAATATTAGAGAAAATCGTGAGTACCAAGGGATGTCACATGGAATATTAGTAATACTGTGTTTAATTATTTCCAATGGCACTTGTTAGTTTAGTAGACGGTCTGTGATTAGGAAGTCATGCTGGTAAATTAAGTTTTACCTTATTTACCTAATGGCCGGTGGGGTGTACTGCTGCTTGAATAAAAAAAAAAGGCTTGACTTTTGGAGCTGGCATTGATAAAGGTGGAGTAGACAGCTAATACCAGAAAGAGTTGTTGACTTCATTATTTTTTTCCACATGTTCTTTGGATGATATTAAGTACGGAACCTAATAGAACCTGACCTGACCAAACCTTACCTAACCTATCCCCAGCATATTAAACAGAAAGAACTACTTTGATATCTGGTACCAATTAAAGGAACTTTCTTGAAGCGGCATGGTGTAATTTTACTGTTTTTTTTTTTTTTTGAGGAAGTGAGAGTACGCTCCGACCGAGCATTGAAACAAAGATTGGATGACAACACTCACCGACACGTCATATTTTTCGACGGAATATTTGCGGTAAATCGTTAATTTCTTGCGTATAAAGCACGTAGAGACATCATTTTAGCGTTATATGATCAGTTTTTTTGCCGTGTTTTACCCCGCAGTTTCTCTCATCCTTGATACCCTGCTCACTACAGGTGATTTATGATCGTAGATAGAGAAAAAATATAAAAGTCATCTTAAGATGTATTTTTGATCTTTAGATACTCACGTGAGTGTTGTACAGTAAGCATGTAGGGAAGACACCTGTACAAGGGATGATCGTGAGTTGGCTACATCAGATTAAAGGTATATAGTAAGTATGGATGGTTCCACATTGTACATAGCATTAATTCCATAATTGGGAGTGATTATGGAAATGTTTCTCACACAGTGTAGTGCTTCCAGCTTCTTTCTTTAATAAGGTACCTACAGGGTGTGCATTTCAGAAGTTAAACAAATTTTTTGCTGTTATTTAATGATAGAACAATTTATTTCAGGGTTTGAACTTGACCATAGTACCATCAACGTTTGAAGAGAATTTAGACCCCAGCAATTTCAGCCATCCAAGTGACTTTGTGATTGCTACTGCACGTGGAAAAACAGAGGAGGTATTGGTGTTCTTTATTACTTTCCTCCAATATGTATAAGTTCTCATTTGCATATTTATTCGTCAGGTGATTCTCATTACTGCACTGGCTTGTTTTGGGATTTGATCACCATACCACATACCCTTTGACAGCTAGAGGCTGATCATGTGATTACTCATCCTACCTGAGCTACCTTGTCATTACATCACTCCACTGTTTTTTATTTATTTTTTATGGGAATAAGCCCACCCAGGCACAGGTCACTGACCCACATCAGGGCCTGAGGGGCGAAAATACAATAATAATAATAATAATAATAGATAATAATGATAATAATTAATAAAAATTAATAAAACAAAATTATGATAATCACAATACTAATAATAACCATAAATACAAAAACAAAAAAATAAATCAAGAGTGAGAAATGATAAACAGTATGCATGTTGTGTTGTCAAAGTAATAGAAACATTTGAGACCCTGCAATTGTGTGTAAATGAGGCAGAAAATCAGATCAGCAACCTGGGATTTGGTCACAATGTTTGTGATGCCATTTGGCAGCAGGGTCTACCATTAGACAACACATTATGCTTCCAATATCTTCCCAGGCGATAGTACCTCCCTGTTTGGTAGCTGCCTACTACATTATAAGCTGCCATTTTTTATTTTAAAACCAATCCACCAGCATATTTCAGTCCTCAGTTGACACTCATAGAGAACAGTCACACCCACATTGGTGTTTATGAGTTTATAGCTCATACTATTATAATTCAAGGCATTTATGTTGAGTCATGATTCTTGAGCCTTTATGCCATGATTCAGTTGTTCACCATCACCTAGATGATTGTAGGGGATGGGACTTCCAAACCAGATGATTGGTCTGCCTGTGTCAAAATGGTAGCTCGGTCAAGATATTTGTGATGGTTACACATATACCTCATCCAATTGGGTACTGATACTGTACTGTCATCAGTAATGTCCTCTTGTTTCCCCAGCCTTAGAGTAGTAGGGCTATTGGCTCATTCTTTTTATTTTCAAATGTAGTATTGTACAACTCCACGAGTTATATTGCCTTGGCATGGGAAACCCAAATGAACTGCTTCCAAATACCCGAGTTGGTATAAAGTTCCCATTTTGTAACCCCAGATGAGGGACTCGAAGTGATAGCCTGTAAACATGTTTACTTTCTGCATAAACATTTCTGGTAAGCTGTACATGGGAAAATGTTAATTGCATGATTTACCACTTTTCAAAGATTAATATTCAAACACTGTACAGTACTTTAATTTTTTAAGTAAATTCAAATAGTTTTTATATTTTTATGTATTAAACTTTCTTCTATGTAATTCCTCTAAATCTTGGTTTTTCCTTTCTACTTCAGGTTGCTAAAAGACTTAGCAGCTCAAATTCTCCTCCAGACCTTGTCATTGGTGCTGACACTTGCATTAGTCTTGGTGGACAAGTTTATGGAAAACCTAAAGATCGTGAGGATGCATTGTCTATGCTTAATAAGTAAGTAAAGGTAAGTTATTTTAAGAAGATAGTAGGTTTTAGTCACAACTTACCAAAAAAGCTTCATATTTTAGCTACATAAAGACCTCCGTGTCTTGATGGTGAGGCCAGGGGCAGGCATTTTACCACTATGCACTGCTGTCGATATATGCTTTTTATAATATCTATTAACAAATAAAACGTATTGATGTAAAAATTGTGTACTGTATAATAAACCTTAAGCAGCCACAAAACAAATTACCTGTACAGTATTTCTCATCAAAAACAAAATACTGTACTGTACAGTAAAAACCCTAAGTAGCAGACCACCTGAGTAATTACACTTCTGATTAATGACATGAATCTTGGAATTTGTTTAACAAAAATTGAAAAAATATCTTTTGTATCTTGAGGATAAGTGTAACGAAACCTTTGGGGGGGGGATGTACAGTGCAGTACAGTCTGATCTACGATTGTATCTAGAGTGGTTTCATAAATTACTCATTATTAAATTTAGATTTTAATTACATAGTTTTATAAGTTTTCTGATCAACAGGTTTAGTGGTACAAGTCATAATGTACTTACGGGAGTTTGTGTAATGGTACAAAGAGGAACAACATGGCAGGAGATTTCCTTCAGTGAAGCCACATCTGTTCAGTTTGCTGAATTATCTGCTGATGATGTTAATGCATATATTGACACCGGAGAGCCTTTGTAAGTACATACTGTATACTGTACAGATATTAGTGATTCAGGATGGTTAAAATGTTAGGCAATTAGTACAGTACTTTGTATTTCCTGTGTATAAACACAGGGTGCTCCATTTATATCGGATATATTTTTATTGTGTATGTTCCAGTGAAATAATGTATATTGAATTATATGTGCCAACATGGATTTTGTGTGGCCATTGAAGATTTTTGTGGAGTATATGCCTGAGACTTGTTTGATTAACACCACTTTCTGCTGAAATTGCTGCAGCTATGGCAGCACTTGTCTCCTGTGTTTTCATTGCACGAAGTCTCGTGTGGACAAACATTACTGTCTTCATAAACAATTTGGTGAAGGAGAGAATGCTGTTTCAACATGGGGCATCCTAGCAATGAAATTCCATCCTGAATTCTCTTTGACTTTCAACAACAATATTAATCAAGTGTTGCCACATCTTAAAGTTCCATAGTTCAATTGTTCAGGGCTTCACCTGTAACATGGAAAATAATTATTTAAATAAACAGATACAGGTGGTACTTAATTGAAATATAGACATTAAGAATGTGTCCGATATAAATGGAACATAACCTGTACCCAGTACTGTATAGATTGGATGGTCTTTGTTACCTGTGTAGATGCAACAATGGGATGTTTAAAAGTATTTGCCTTTTATAGCTTAACATACAGTGTGTGCATTGAGACTCGTATATATTGTACATATATTTTTTGGAGGAATATTTACGGTATATACAGTAATTAATTTCTTCGGGTAGAAAGTACGTAGAGACATCATTTTAGTGTCATATGATCAGTTTTGCACTGTGTTTTACCCCACAATTTCCATTATCCTTCATACCCTGCCCACTATAGATCATTTATGGTTGTAAAGAAAACAATTTAATTAAAATAAAAGGTTGTCTGTGGAAAAAATAAATAAAATCGAGCAACTCCTTCTGGTGTTAGCCATCTGCTACAGTGTTACCTTAGCTTGCTAGGTATACACTTGAATCATCCCAGCCAAGATATACATCAACTTTTGCCTGTGGCACTGGATTCAGATGGCTTGTTATTCCCTGTTGAGTTCAAGCTTCACACCAAATCTGTATAGTACTGTACAGGTAAAAGGGCTAGGGGATGTTTATCCAGTTCTCAGACATTTTTTAATTTAGCTTTTATGATGATAACCAAAAGGTGAATGTGATTCTGAAATCCCTTCTGGTAGCAAAAACTGTAGCCAGGAAGCTCAGAATCCTCCATCCATGCCTTTTTGGGACACAGCTGTACCATATTCTCCATATTTAAGGCCAATGGTGCAGGGGAAAGGGAAGTTTGATTGGTTGTTTTAGAAGAACTAACAGATTAACCTTGGCTGACATTACTGAGGCTGTAGTACGAGAGCCACCAGACTACTGTACAGGCTCCACCAGACAAAGGGGTTTCAGGGTCAGTCCTCCACTTTTAACTGGGCATAGTAGCATAGTATAAAGAATTTCTTGATCATAGTATTAACTATGTTAAAAGGGATGAATTGGTTAAGAACCTGTTTTAAACTGAGCTGCAGTCAAACAACTCGGCATTCCTCACTCCTACATTTGGGGGTGTTGAGACGAGCGGGGTCTGGTGATTTCTTGTGACATCATTTTGTAGCTGTTGTAAACATAATACAGTACTGTATATTTAATTAAGATGCACTTCTTGCTCAGTAGCCAAAAAAATATTCAACCTTCTCCTTTTGGGGGAATATATATTCATGCCAAGGATGTATTAAATTTTTAGATTCCTGGCACAAGCTGGGTCATTGGGAATTCATCACTTCCTCGGGCTTAGAATAGGGTGCAGCTTATATTCATCAAAATACAGTACTGTATTGTTTTACAGTCCAGGATTACTTTATAAAGATGATCTCCTGCATCACAGTTTATTACCCTAGCCTAAAGTTGTATGGTGATCATTGCAGTGACAAGGCCGGAGGTTATGGAATCCAGGGACTGGGAGGGATGCTTGTGGAAGGAATACATGGTGACTACTACAATGTGATGGGCTTTCCTCTTCACAGGTTTTGTCTTCACTTGGCAACAGTTTTGAGTGAATGAATTCCTCAGTTCTCTCCATCATTTTCATATTAATTTACTGTTAATATTTATTTATGAATTATATATTGTTTATTCATTTTGCATTTACTGTATAGCAACACTCGCTGAATACTATTATTCTTCAGATGTACATAACACTTGTTCATAGTTTCTTGAGCCTGTCCACATTCTTTGATCACAATGTAAGTATTTTTAATGTCGTTTTATACAATCTTTTGTACTTAGCTCATGTATACAGTATGTGAGAGTTCATGTCTGATGTTAATTCAATATTTTATCTAGTACAGGGTATTGTATTTTAAAATTACTTTAAAGATCAGGATGTTAATGCATCAAAGCACCACTTACCAACTAACAAAAATTCTGTTGACTGAACTTTAATGTTTGGATGCTCAGCAAGGCACACATTATGCCTTTTTTTTTTTTAATTTACATTTGGTTTTATTCAGTGAATCAATAAATAGAACTTTAAATTTGTATATTAATTAGATATCCCACTTATGATGACTAAAAGGAAATATTAACAACCAACTGGGATGGGCATTATCATTCAACTTTCCTGTATGGATGATGGCAGCCAGTTGCTGTCTTTACATGTCGTAAAGGAACGGGCACACACAGTACCTGTAACCCACAAACTTCTATGTTTACAGTAATTACCACAAGGTTTTTTGCTACAGTATTAAAGAATACCAAGCAGAATCATGTTCACCTTCAAAATATATTTAAAGAACATAATATAAATCTAACTAAACTAGCAACAGCTGCATGTGGTGACAACTGGTGGTGTTAGTGAGTGTAAGAGAATGTGATTGCTGAAAGGTGCTCAGTAATTTATCTACAGTGCTGACTTGATCACACTAAAAATTACTGAATCCTAAAGTATAAAAGAATATATAGAAGCAAAATTATGTTTGCGTTGATGGATATGATACAATTAATTTTGTCAAAATTTACTGCGCTGTTCCAAGTAGGTTTCCAAAGCTTGACACTCCACTAAGGTGGAAATTTTGAATTTGTACTTGGGATGTAATTGGACTTTAGAATGATGGATACTCAAAGTTTGAAGATTTACTGTCCTGTAATTATTTTTGTATTGGTAGATTGCATCTGGTGATAGTCATGCTACCGGTATAGTTTTGTACATCAGTGAGGGAGCAGGAGCCAGTCCAGTCCACTCTTGGACATATTTCCTGTACCAACAATGCTAGGCCAATACAAGCACCATAGAACATCAACTCTGGTGAGTACACACTATACAGTACAGTATACACTTTCCATTAGTAGTACATCAGTATTCAAGTTTAATATTATTAGGTTAGGTCAGTGGTTGTGGTATTCCAAACATAAGCCCACGTAAATAAAAAAAAAGGTGTAAATGAACCGAGCGCATTATTCTAAAAATAGCAGAAACTAACCACGTATAAATCAAGATATACAGTCCATGCCACACAGACTGGCGGCCTTGAAATTCAAGCGGTAACTTCACTGGGTCCACCCCTCCCCACCTCCCAAAACATACAAATCAGGAAATTAATTGATGGTCAGCACGTTGTCAGCCGATCGATCACATGGATACTGCGGCAGTATCACGTGTTCTGACTATTACTCTCAAGATATTATAGATGGACAACAATGCACTGTGGATACAGGTAGTAAATATATTACTAATTATGAATTTTAATGCAAATAAGAGAAACGGTAATTAATTAAACTTATAGAAATAATGATTAGTTTAGGAAAAAACAAGGTAATCAAGAAATAAAACTAAACTTAGTTATGATGATGCACAATTTCAATGAGACTGATGATTTGTGACTTACTTCACCTTGACTAAATATCCACAGCTCCACATCATATCCATTAAATATCCACTTTATATCATACTACAGAACCTGGGAGGCCACCCATGCCACATTTGTCGGGAACCTTTTAGAATCTTTAGGGAAATTTGTAGTTGTCTGAGCTCACCTGTTTATTTTGAATATTGTCCGAGATAGATGGAAAAGTGCATGAAGACGACCCACTGTCCGAGAATCGCGGGTATCTGAGTTGGTGAGGGTTTACTGTAGTACTGTATTCCTTAAACTTACAGAACATCTTCGAGGAAGATTTTTCTCCTAGTCCTTAAGTCAAAACAGCTGCGAGGAATTGGTTCCATTGTGGATGGCATCGAGAAACTGTTTGAGTGTTGGCAGAAGTAATTGGGCAGTAGATAATACTTTTCAGCACTCCCTCGTATGTAAATAGAACAAAACCTAAGGAAAAATAATATAAATTGTTCAGATTTGGAAGAATTATTTAATTTTTTGAGAAAGATATTCAAGTAAACATTTTATTGCATTTTGAACATTAGAATGGTCAAAAAGTATGACATGGAATAAACATATACTTGTGGCTTATACCACTAGATTATGTAACTTGATTGGATTAAAAAATATACATACAGTACTAACAATGATTGGGAAATCAGATGCCAAGCATATTAAATGTCTTAAAGGTAAGTAATAGATATATATGTAAATGTTTCCTTGAAGTTATCTATACAGTATTTATGCATTTGTGAGACTTGTATAAGTAATATTAATTTCAACCACATTTATTCAACTAAGATCAGAATGTTAAGAAGTTGCTACCAAATACAATACTCTGGTTAAAGTATTTAATACTAAAATAGGAACTACAGTAGTGTATCATCTGAATATAACTAGAAGATATGCAATAGGTATAACTGTATTGCTGACTCTTTATGAAGACAACATGCCTTTATATTAGAAACACTAATAAAGAAGGTAAGCTAAGGTTTACCCTATTGTAAACATGTGAGCAAGGTTATTGTAAATAAGATCAAGGCAAGTCATTCTTACCATTAATTCCTCCAATCATATTCTATGAAAAGATTTGTACTAACATATACCAAGAGGTATCTCATTTACATATATCAGTCTATCCAGAAGGCAAAATCCTTCAAATTCGCTTTGGCCTTTGTGAATTTCTGCGCACACATTCTGTTGGAGATCCACAAAAACATTCAGGGTATTTGCCTTAGTGTACTACATGTAGATTTTAGTTGTCATTAAAATGACACAGCTGCCTTCTACTTACACACTAAGAAATAAACCAATTCACATAAAAACAAGGTGAATACTCTTACTGGGCGAGATAATCCTCATAAGTTAGGAGAAGGGGTAAGAGTTTAACAAAAGATTACAAAATACTATAGTACTGTAAATAACGAAGTCTAAGATTGTGTTCAATTTGATAATGTGCAACCAACCATTACATGGAGGTGCAGTGAGATGGAGGCCCCAAAAGACAAACCATTAACAACAGTAGTAAAGAAGCTACGAGTTAACACTTTCAACAAACCTACCTCCCTGCCATGATGTGGTGCCTCATGGGACACCAGGGCCTGGTAATTTACTACCAATTTGAATTGATGACCATAAAAAAATTATAAACTAACCAGAATCTTAAGTTACATAAAATGAACAGCAACAGGTGATAGTGGAATTTTTTTGTTTTTGAAAGATAGGATGTAAAAAAATATAGATTATAATGTTGCTGTATACTATCAGCAATTGTAATGGAATTTTGGAATAAAAATTATAACAAAACAGTTAACCTAAAAATCTATGTACATCTCTGTGCCATTGATTTCAATTCATTCAAACTCAAATGTGGTCTCCTACATGATGCATTTGCTTACTCTACCTATACCGTACAAGCATATGAGAAATATCAAATGACTTCTCACAATCATAACAATATAACGAGAAGACTAATCCCTTGATACAAGCTACCTTAATATTTGATTGTCTACAACTGACTTGTGCTCCTGTTAGCGCTAGCTATCACATGACAGTATATCACAGAGCCTCGTTTCTCCATATTTAGTTCTGTACTTTCTAAAATCATCACAGTTGGAAGCTATGGCAAACTCTGTAATTTCCATCATCACAGTATTAACTCCATTATAGCCACAAATCTGAAAGCATTTTATCACTTGATAAATCCCTCAGGTTTGGACTTTTATTCCACTGTAAGGAAAAAAAAGAAAAAGATCAGCTTGTCCATCACTGATAACCATGAACTTTACTGTAACCATAAACCCAAAGTAACCTCTTTTTATCAGCTGATCAAATGCTCATAATCTTGAGTTTTATTTTGCAGTAGCAACACTAACCTCTTCTACCCTGACCAATTACTAAACGATCTTGGGCTTGAATATTAGCCTTGGAATACAGCCACTAATAATTTTCACAAATTTTATTTACAAGTGCAAATAACAGTGTTGACAGGCAACTTACGGCAATGCTAATTTCTAACAAATGAACAGTAAATTCATGTTGAATGTATCTTAATTGCAAACTTCAAAATCTTATTTCATGATAAGCAATCAAGTGTTCCTGTGTCCTTATGGGCGTGTTTGTCAATGAGTCTATTAGCAGGTTCAATAGGCAATCAAGGTTTGGAAACAAGCTTTTCTGGTACTTCATTATGTTCTGGGGTATTATAAGCTAATGTATTTCAAGAATATACTGCATTTTTTTCCAGTATTGTTATTGTTTTTGGTTAAGTTTTACAGCAAGTCTTTATTTTCTAATTAGATGTCTGTGCTGTTTGTTCTCCAACAGCTTCTTATACTTTTGTTTCTTAATGACCATCTGATCTCCCTACTGCCTTATGTTTATTGGTAAAAGTTAAAATGTTTAAGAGTTAGATATTCACAATAAATGTTTTCTGATTGTACTCTCTACAGTTGATGTGATAGTACAGTAGCACAAGTCTTCAAAATGTAAATTTATAACTTTTTCATTGCAAAAATGACCACAATGAAATACCAGGAAGGTTTTCAGAACCTGAGACACCACTGTTAATGTCATGTCTTTGGATCCGTCCATGCCTGTATACATACACAGATTTATAAAGATGCAAGTGAGACATTAACTTTTTTAATGCAATCTGCAAATTTATAACTATTTTATTCTAACTGGTTACAAACATTTTGAAGCGATATCAAGAGGGAATCTTTGTGTTCCCATAAATTGTATTTACTGGATGATATTAACATATACTAAAAAGTATTCATAACTACCGTACTTTACATTCTGTGGTATGTTATGTTATAGCTTACTAAAGTTGTATTTAATATTTGTTTGAAAGTTTTGGAGAAGTTTGTAATCTGAAGTTATGTCCTTCTACCTAGGCCACTGCTCTAAATCATTACAAACTGCCATGTCAGGTATGGTAAGATGTTACTCTTATAACATCAGAAAAGTGCATAGTTAATGTTATTCTGTAACGACTGTTTAGCTCAGTGTCATAAAAATGGTATATACACTGAACACCAATATTTAAGTTAACACAGACACTTATTGTTTGTATTTGATTATTGTTGACAAAGGCTCAGCTTTAAGTTCAGACATTTTCATGAATGCACCTTTAACTGTTGATCAATTTTACTATCCCCCCCCCACAAAAAAAAAATTTGGTACTTATCTTTATTTAAAACACCTTGGAAAGAGAAGGAGCTACTCTAGAGCTGAAGATAGCAGTACCTGTCAATGTAGATCATGACTGAACAGCACTGCATAATTCCACTGACATTGTATTGTAAACTGACCTAGTAGTGACAAATGCATTCCTGACATAACCAAAGTTAAACCAATACAATAACTTATGCTTGCTCTCTCTCACAAGGATGACAAAACTATTTAAGGACTATCAGCCCACCATTTGAGAACTTATGTTTAACTATTTAAATGACAACTGAACATCAAGTACAGTATCTCAAAAAATTATCTGCCAGTATGGGTCCGATGATTTATGAAATGCTACATGCAACTCATGATGTCCCAGGAGGGTCGGTATGCATGGCTCTGTGGCATATTGAGGTAAATTTGCTTTAGGTCGAACAAGGAATTTTCTATTTACATAGGGAAAAAGCAAAAAATAAGAAAATACAATAATCTATTACGTTTCCATCGTAAATTTATACGTTTAGTATTTTAACTGATATTACCAACAATATTGGTTGTTCAAAGTGGACAGAGGTTTTGAAGTAGAGGGGAAATGCAGAGTAAAATACTAAAAAGAACACTAAACAAACCTTTGCAAACCTTAACTAATTGTAAAGATCATAATCCATAAAAAGCTTATCTTATTCGAATTTTTCGGTGTTTAGTATGTGATGGTGGTGGTGTTTAGATGAGGAGGGCTTGTTTGGTTGTCATTTTACTCTGCATTTTCCCTCAACTTCAAAGCCCTAGCAATTTTGAACCACCAATATTTTTGGTAATGGGTCATATCAGTTAAAATGCTTGAAAAAATATAAATTTGCGGCATTAATATAATAGAATAAAGCATCTTATTTTTGTATTGTTTTGCTCTTTCTCCCTATATAAGTAGAAATAAGAAGTTCCTTGTTCGACCTAAAGTGAATCTTACCCATACTGATCCCACTACATTTGGTCACTGAACATTACATTAAATACGCTGAAAAGAATATACATTCCAGTATCATTATCCAGGTATCTCCCAATTTACGATATTTCGCTTGAACGATGGCGATATATTAGGACCAATTCCCTATTTAAAATAAAAAATTCGCATGAATGATAGTGAACATTCTACCAAAATCACCGACACCCACAATATGGAACGCATCTATTGCTGCACTGTCAGCTACAGCGTCAGCTATCTGTGCGTCGTCACACACAGCTCTACAGTTATGCGTTTTATTCCAAGATGATCGCATCTGCTTGGGATAGTGCTTTTGTTGTTTTTGTGAAGTGCTTTGGCTCTGTTTTTGCAACTGAAGTGAGCAGTGTAAATTTGAAAATATCTAGCAAGCGTATTGCCGAGGCTCTTGCATCTAGGAAAGCAAAGGCATCCAGGAATACTGTCTCTCTGGAGGTGAAACTCAACATTGTGAAGCTGTGTTGGAATCAGTGACACGTCTCCAGTCCACCTTCAAGTCTCCTTAGCTTCGAGGAGGACATGTGTTGATGACCAGGCTTGTTCTCAATGATGTGGCAAGTAGCGTTTAATTGTGTTTTAGTTAATATTGTAGATTTTTTTTGGTGTTATACTGGCTGGGAACATATCCCATTGAACCCCATGTTATATTGCTCCCAATTTACGATATTTAAATTTTTGATGGATTTTTAGGAACGTAATACCATTGTAAATCAGGGGATACCTCAACTCCCAAACTCCTGTAGTGTCTAAACAAATGCTCCCGTACATGTTCTTACCATTTCCATCCTCCCTAAGATAGTTGAATATATAATAGGGAAAGTTAGATTAAATGTATCTTCAGTATTGCATGCATGGTTTGATGTTTCTAATTTGATACTAGATGAAATCTAAGGCAAAAAGTTGTTGGTTCTATTTTAATCTTTCTGCTGGTAGCAGCACTGGGTAAGCACCTGAGGATATAAATCTATTTCATCTAGGGTTTATCTACATTTTGTTCCTGCCCTGCCTCATACTGGGACTCAGCCTTGTGTTGCACTTGTCTTAGCCTTCTACCAAACAGAGCAGCCACATACCACACAGCCATGCCCATCCCTCCCCATCCAGCACACAAGGCATGCAACCCCTAATGTCTATACGAGTATACACCGGTTCCATGGATAGTGAATATTAAATGATAGTTATTTTATATACAATACTGTTTTTACATTTCTAAACTTGAATTGTTTAATTTAGGATCATAGGGTAATTTGTGACCTTAATGTCACGGTCACCTTTTATGTACAAGATTATTTGGGTCTAAACATAGCTGTATGCTAGGTCCCAAGGTCCACTGCATCCAATTGCATATCTATTGCTAACTTTATAAAATTTTCAAGTTTGCCTCACTGTCAATTCCAAAGATATGTGAACTAGAGAGGTTCTGCTGTGTGTGTTTGCATGTGAGGCTCCAATAAAGTCTCAAGTTACTTTTGACTAACCTTTTGCCAAATGGGTAACTTTTCTTTTTTATTGATTAACTTAATATAAATTGGCCGGTATAATTTGTTTGGCTTCCTTTAACCGTTAAGTAGTGTTGCATTTAGCTATTTTATTCAGCCGAGAGTAATATCATTCGAAGGAATAAAATTTTTCTCGATTAAGATATATATATTCAACAAACTTTAACTAAATTTACCAAGGTAAAGTTACATTAGGTTAGGGCATTTAGATTAGAATTGATGCTATTTATACTGTACAGCGTATTGGTATTTAATTTGTATTATGACTAGCAACATTACCATCTCTGTTTGAAATTAGAAAAAAAATACAGTTCTATTGTAATTATCTGTATTTGGCTATTTTCTGTGTGTGTGTGTGTGTGTGTGATGGTGTGTGTGTGTGATGGTGTGTGTGTGTGTGTGATGGTGCGAGTGTTGTGTGTATGTGATGGTGTGTGTGGTGTGAATGTTTGTGTTGTAGTGTGAGTGTATGGTGTAGTGTGAGTGTATGGTGTAGTGTGAGTGTATGGTGTGGTGTGAGTATGGTGTGAGTGTATGGTGTGGTGTGGTGTAGTGTGAGTGTGTGGTGTGGTGTAGTGTGAGTGTATGGTGTGGTGTAGTGTGAGTGTGGTGTGGTGTGTGTGGTGTGTGGAGGGTGGATAATTGTGAAATAGTAATTTTTACATTTAAATTACAGTAATCTGTATATAGATATAATGTAGATAATCATTATACAATGGAACCTAACTTTGTACAGTCTAGCCTTACCTAATTTAGTTATTATTGTTTCATTAGTTTATTATGGTAAATAGCATCTTAAATAAAAAGTGTAAATTTTACAATATAAATCTACTATTTGTTACCCAACTACAGCAGTAAATACAACGTTACTCTATTTGGCAGAAATATTAATTATTTTTTTAAGGTTTAACCAGATGACTATCCTTATATAAAAAAAATCATCTGACTGATGAATAGGTTATTAGCAGGTGCGCATTCTTTCAAGGCAAATTTTTGTAGACAATGTCTTAAATTATTTTTATTTATATTTTGCATATACAGTATGCTTGAGATAATGTTCAGAAATATGTTACCATGGAATGCTGTGGGAACCTAGAAGTATATATATTCTGAACATTAAAATTTCTAATATTTATTTTTTTACTCATTTGTACTCTGTTGTATTTGATTTTTTCTAACAAAGTAGAGTAATCTGAATTTACAGTATTATAACTTTTCAAGTGAATATGAAATGAGAAAACAGTACAGTATTTGCATTCTTAGAAACAATTCCCCCAAAATACAAGTCATCTTTGGTTTCTTTCAGACAGCTGCAGAACACATGATAATTAATGTGACATTTTTTAGTTTTCAGGAAGAAAACAAAGGTATAAAATGTTTAGGAAACAGATGGGAGAGTTTGGTAATACTTGACAGCCAGCTGGTTAGTCAGTGATCCAATGTCAGTATCATTTACAGAGATGAGATCAAAAGGAATGCATTAGGAGTACAGATTTGTTAGTCATGACCAACTAGAATTCTTCAAAATTTACTAAAGCAAATGGATATTTATCATACTTATTGAGCACTCAATTTTTTTCATAGTAGGCAAGCGGTACTATAATAATCAGTGTGTAGATGGGCTATTTATCACCGGAATATTGGATGAAAATTAACTGCTAACGTTAATTTTCTTTTTAAGTGATCTTTACAAAAAGATGAATCCTAAAGAAACATCTATGATGTGTATATAATGGATTGATAACAGATAATCATCCATTGAATTCAAGAGGTAAATTACTATTCTAAATATCAGCTAAAGACATGCTTCTACTGGTAGCTATTTGTCATAATTCTTATTTTCAGAATAGGCATGAGCATGTGAACCATCTTCTATTACTACTAAATACAATAATGTACCCCAAAAGTTTTCCTAAATGTTTGTTAGTGAGTTTGAGCATACAACCAAATAATATGGTATCTTTAAGTATCATATAAAACAATGAAGATGCATAGTCTTGAAATGGTCAGTCGTTGCAAACTCCTGTTGAGATCTCTTTTAAAAAGACCTTGTCTGTAGTGTATAGAAACTCCACCAATATAGTATTAACAACTTTTTGAACTTGAGGGGTTCATGATGATCTTTGAGTAACTATTGAAAATCAAAAACTCTATACAGAGATACTGTATAATTAAATTTTTTGGAAAAGCTATTTTCTGCATAAGATTACATCATTCAATGATGATTACCAGTAGAAATATTTGATACAGCTTTACAAATTTCCGAGATTATTATACTTGAGATGGTCCAGACTTCTTGAAAGTGTGGATCGGTGTCGATGTTGGGGATCCGTTCTTTGGACTGTCATCTGGAGAGGAGGTAGACGATGGGTACTGATTGTGATAACGTTGTATCAAGGGTATGGCATTGAGTATCAGTCCACACCCAATAATGAAGAACCCTGAGATCACAAATGGTACTGTGTAGTTGCCAGTTGCATCAGCAATATATCCTGTAAATAAAAACAATTAGTTACAGAGGGGGACACTAAAATACAGTATTGTATATTGATTAGTGTTCATATCTGTTGTCCTTAATATTTAAGCTCATTTGAGAAACCACATTTTTCATCTTCCTTACTTGCTGCCATTACATGAATATTCCCTCTGTTCTTCCATTGCAACTTTTGTTTTCTATCAATATCACCAGGGCAGTCCCTAATTTGCTCTCTGCCTGATATTTCTTCTACATCTCCTTATTTCTTATTCTGTGCATCTTACTTGCCTGACACATTGCTTTCAAGCGTATCATTTTTGTTGCTTCTAACTCACTCCTGCTTGCTTCCGGTATCCTTGCTTCACTCCCATCTAAGAGTATTAGCTCAATTATTCCCCACCTCTGCATCTTTTGATGCAATTCTCTCTCTCCACACATTTCAATTTACCTGTGGCCTCCTTTCTTTCAACTACTTGGGATTAATTCATAACTCCTTGTTCCATTTATGACACTGATTTCACCCTATCCTCCATCTCGACTTATTTTCACTTCATTTTACTGTATATAATTTTCTTAGTACAGTACACAAACCTCAAAACCCATTCAATAACATTGTAACTTTTCTTTCTTATCGTCCCCTAGAGAAGTATCTGCAAATATTACCTCCCTTTACATCCAGCATGATTGTTCACTTAACTTATCAGTATCTCTTGCTACCCTAACCGTGAGAATATTAAAGCAAGATACAGTAATGTATTTCATGTGGCAAAGGGAGGCTCAGGAACGTAACTCCCGTATTTTATCTATTTCTTATGGGGGAAATTGATTTGCTTAATGTCGTTTCTTATAACGTTGCGTTTCCAGGAACGTAATCACGAAGTTAAGCGAGGACTTACTGTACCGTAATTTAGAGCCTAACACATTAATAAGTTATAAATTTGGTACATTACCTTAAGTGACCATATTTGTGTAAGTGACAATAAGTTTCGTATAGTGTAAGAATATAGAAATCGTATAGGCAAATTTACGTATCTCAATTGTTTATAAGCGAGGGATACTTGTATTAAACATGAATGGAAACGAAAAAAAAAAATTCAAACCGAGAGGAAGTAAGAACTGAAAGCAGTATAGTGACCTGCATAAAGAAACATTTCCAATTGTCAATATGCTCCCCTCCTTTAAAAATAAATAAAATGTTCTAATACTTACCTACTAGTGGAGGTCCAATAAGGTTTGCTACACCCTGGATAAGAAGTAACAGCCCATAGGTCTTGCTAAAGGCTTCTAAGCTAACCAGTTCAACCAGGATGACTGATGTTAGGGCATAATTAGCCGATATGAATAATCCAAATACAGCTGAAGCCACTGCTAATAGCCAGTAATTAGTTATGAATGGCATGGAGAGGACACTAAGTCCACAGATTACCATAGAGATGTTGTATATTAGCATTGGTGATGACCATGCCTGATCACCAACATATCCCATCAACACCTGAAATGAGAAAATTCCCTGAAACTGTAATATATTACCAAAGAGTTTAATTACTTTACAGAGTTTTATTCACAAGAGTATGATGAAAATAATACTGTACATTAATTTCATAACTTGCATAAATATTTCATACAAATTTTGTTGTTGTAAAGAAAAGTTTAATAGCATGAGCCAGAGACAATCTTCAGAACGCTTACCATACCCAAGCAGTTCAGTATTCCAATTACAGATATGAGATTTGCACTATCATCTGCTGATACGCCAACACCTTGGGCATAGTCAGTCAAATACATGTAGACTGTGTCATAAAAAACATACAAAACAAAGTTTGACATTGCAAATATTAGATAGGCAGCATCCAAGCAGTAACTCATGTCAATACACGATGTCATCATTTCTCCCATGTCATCCAGGTATGTCCAGGCTCTCTGTTGAATGGATTCATAATGAGGTATATTACATTGAAGGTCCTGTGTGTGTGTGTGTGTGTGTGTGTGTATTTTCTTAACAGAGTTAAGATCATCAATGTATCACTAATAGTAAAATAAAATGAATGGGGAGAAATTATTTCATAAATATTTCTATTACAAATACAGGTATGTACAGTGTATATTTAAATTTGGTGGATTCAGATAATGACTTTTCTGGTTCCTGGTCAACATAAAGAATACATATTCTAAAGTTTTAAAGAATGTCAAATTTCCTGGCCAGGTCAAAGATCCCACTATTGCTCCCCTCCCCCCCACTCTTTCAAGACCTTTTCCTCACTATAATTACTGTATACCGTACGTATAATGTATTGTGGCCAAAATGAAGAGCAAACACAAACCTTTCCAAATTCACTCTTACTAATGAAACATGATATCCCTTCCCCAATAAGACCCCAGACATCTATCAGGCTTTCACCGATTACTTTACAAAACTTAGCATTTCATTTCATTCTCTCTGGTCATTCACACACACTGCTGCTGCTGCTGCTGCTTGGATATTCATCCTTCAGTTATAGTGTAGTAATAGCTAATGCTATAAATGATATGTCAGAAAAGAGAATAAAAAATAAATAAAACTTCTTGCTGAATTTTTTTCCAAAACACACACACTAAGTTACCAAGATAGTCACGGTTACAAATGAAATAGAAGTAATGTACGTATATACAGTATGTTCATGAAAAATAAACTTAACTTTTCTTCGAGGCTTTCATTAATGCATACCGATATGTAGCTAAGCAATTTTTAGGTGATCCTGTACCTGATTGGGTTATCTGGGAATTTTTTTAACATCTGCATGCTGCTTATGTTACCAATGAACAATAAAAATGTCCTAAATAGAGGTACCACAGAAGATTTACTGTATCTGAATTTCTCCAATATATATCACTATCTATCCAGTTTGCAATAGAATATATCATGATTTTCAAAACAGAAAATGGCAGCTTACCTCATCCTGTGATTTTGCTAGAGTGATAATGGAGTTTCGATATATGTCAGGGCAGGACGAAGCTCTCAGTCGATAGCGGTGGATGTTGAGCATTGCACCTCGATAAGTCATTGACTGTCTGCAAGTGATAGTTACAGTAAGCATCAATATATTAACCCTGAGTACAGTACAACTAACTACAACTATACTACCTGTACTTGGCTGTTCTCTGAGCTAAATTTCTATTACGTACGGTGAATATCACCATAAAACATAAGGAAAGATAAATAGAAATATTAATGGGTCAAACTGTTGGTAGAAGGGCCAGGGGAAGGCAAAGACTGGGAGGATGAATAAAATAAAATTCCTAGTCCAAGGAGATGCAAAATCAGGATTGATTGGGAGGCAAGCCAAATACATTTGTAGTGGAGGGCTATAGTAGCCAACCTTGAGACATGATGAAGGCACTTTGACATATCTTTTGTACTTAGTAAAAATGGGACAAACTACAACTTTCCAATTCAGGAACTTTATTTTTGGGGGACCTCAGTCTTTCTGAGCTATGATTTTAAAGCACAACCACTGCAAAATACAACCACTGCTAAGTTCCAGGATAGGTCTGAGTAGTAGCCAAGTCTCAGACTCCCATAACTTATAAATTATTATTGTACATCTATCTGAACGTGGGAACTTCCTGATTGAATTACGAGACAAAGAAGCTTTTACTTTACAGAAAAGAAGTTACTGTACAGTACACAAAAAATGTAGCTGTTGTATGTGATAGTACAGTACTGTATTGTACTATGAATATTCCAGGTTTTCTTAACAAGATGTGTTGTTGTAGGACAAAGATTACAAATGGGTGGAGGAAATACCTGTTAACTCTCATGTTACGCAGTGGGGCAGCAGGGGGTGGAGGTGAGCTGGCACCCATGCAACCTGTGGATATCCTCCGTATTCCGGGCTGTCGTCCGCCTCGAACACGGACTGACGCCAGCATAGCAGTCATCTCCTTGGGATCATCATTTTCTTCCTCATTATCTGCATCATCACCATCATCATCCTCAGTAGAAAACCCAAGCTTTATGTCCAGCTGTGAGGAAACACACACTGGATTACTATTTATGTTCAGATTTAAAAATTTTCTCAAATGTAGGAGATTTGGTTCTGTACGGTCTTGTTCTCTCATGAATTACCACATACCAAAGTCATTTTTATACTGTACAGTACTATAAAAAAATAGGGAGGCATTATCCAAGGTATCATTGCCAGCCTACTTTTACAGAGTGGAAATTGGGCATTATAATGGATTTTCAAGGATGCTCTTAGCTGGCAAAGCAGAGCTGCAATTCCCAGAGGTAATCAAAGATTACCCGCCTCCCTATTTTTTTTTTTTACTGTGGTTCGACCAACAACTACTCTCAAATCTTGGCCAACTCAGTCAACACCAATATAGTTATGTAATGATTTCTCAAGAGGCCCCGAGATGTAAATGTCCATTTTACAGCTTGTTGACAATAACCAAACATTCTTTCTTTTAATAGTTTTCCTTTTTTTTTTTTCCCTCATCATTATGAAATACATGTTTTATTTACTGTACTCTCTCTCTCTCTCACTCTGTATCAAGAAATATCAATTAAAACATAGCTATACAATACTTACTCTTTTCCGGTTTCCATTCTGTAGAGAAGTATCTCCTCCCACGGACCCTGGCGTGGTGGAGTCTGTGTCAGAGCAAGGCTGCCCACCTTTGGTTAGGTGTTGAGCAATTATTGGGTCGGGCTTGTCTGGGCTCAGACCTGCTGATGATCCAATACTGGAGAATGGTGTCGATGCATAAGTCAACATTTTCTCCATTTGAGATTTTGAATGTTGCTTCTTATCTAATGGAGTGTGAATTTGGTCAACTTGGTTTACGTGTCCAGAGAGTGAGTGAGACAGCAGGTGGGGATACATCTGCGAGACCACTTCATACGCATTGGTACGTGATGACAGACAGGGAATGACATCAGGGGGGAGAGCCTGGGAGCGGCTAAGGAAGGTAGGCAGAAGCACCAGCGATGCTGACCCACGCAGAGTCCCGCTGGGGGTGTCGTCCGGAGACAGCAATGCCGCTACATCTCCAGACTGCACTAACCGTCTCAGCTCTTCCAGTGATGGCAGCCCCGTGGCTACACTACCACCACGACCACCCACCGTCTCTGATGACTGAGAGGTGGAGCCACGGTGACTGCTGACTGTTGTTGTGTTAGCATCTCGAAGGCTGGAGGAGTCTCTTGGAGTCCACTCTAAGTCACGCATCAGGGCACCACACACCACCATATTCAAAAATAAACCTGCCAGTATTATGAAACACAGTCGCCAACCCCAGTAGTCAACTAAATATTGGATTAAGGGTGCAAATAAGAATGTACCAATGCCACTGCCAGCCACAGCAATCCCCGTAGCTAATGACCGCTTCTTCTCAAAATAGAATGCAACTATGACTATAGCAGCAACATAACACACTGCCAGGCCAAGACCAGTGATAACACCCACAGTCAGTAACAGCAGTGGAATAGTATTTACAAAGGCACTGACAAAGAATCCAAAGGAGGCAACTACAGCACCACAGATTGTTACAGTCTGACAACCATAGCGGTCAGTTAGGAGAGAGGCAAGAGGTCCAGCTAACAATGGTATTGCCATGAATAAGCTGCCAACCCAAGATGTCAAAGACTTGCCTTCTTGGAAGTAGCTGAGGAGTTCAACAAAGAGCACGCCGAAAGACATGGTGACGCCATCAGCAATGCAGTGAACCATAAAGGACGCTGCCACTATCACCCACCCCCAGCCTCCATCAGGAGCCCGACGCTCAAGTTCAGTCCCATGGGAGTTGCTGGAGTCACTGGAACTTGAACCGAGACTGATGCTACTGGAGCCTGATATCTGTCTTCGACGTAGTTTTTTGGAGGCCGACATGTTAGATGTAACTTCGGATGGAGACGACTCCGGAATAAATTTTGACCATAAACGTGTTGTCTGATCTCCTTGAGTTGGAGTGGTGCTGCCACCATGGGGCTTGTGTATTGTTACCTGACCATCTTGAGTCACTAGAGTGTCACGCAGGACACTGGTGTCCTCGTCGTCATAAGGAGTGTCGAACTGAACATGAGCACCAGTTGGGGCCCGTGTCCCGTCCTTGAGGCAGCCACTAGTTGGTGTACAAGGGCTACGTCCTCCTATATCCTTGATGGTAGAGTCGGGGGTCAAGCTCACATTAACAGTGAGGCCAGTGTTGGTAGTGGACTCCCCACCACATGACGCAATAGGACTGAGGTCGCCACACATTGACACCTTCTTGTTGCTGGTTCCCGTATTTTTATTGACACGGTCATTAGTGCTGCTGCTGCTGCTGCTACTGCTGCCTGGACTGTTACCAGAGTCACTCCTTGTGCTGGAGTCACTTCCTCTACTAGAGTCACAGGAAGACAGTGAAGAGTAGTCAGAGTTACAAGACTTCTGCTTTTTATCTGCTAACAATAATTTAGATGTAACAGTTCTATCTACGTTCAGTCTGTTAGCGTCTTGCTCCATTTGTGCTTCTCTGTTATTACACATATTGTCGTTCACATTTCGAATATCACTCTTTCCCTCGCTTTGTCCGTGAGGGCAAAATTTTTTATGGATGTGGCATTCACAACCACTTCCTGAACCATTTTCCACTTCGTAACTCTTGTGGTCACCGCCAACGTTTACACGAGTACATCCATCACCTAGCAGCCCCGTCTGTGTGCTAATATCCACAAAACTCTTTTGCTCAACACTCATGTCAACTTGGTCATCAGGACTGTTCAAGTCAGCATTACAGATGTTGTTTTCTCGAGATGAAACACTGCCTTGATTACAAGTGTTGACCGTATGTGTGTGGTCATCCCCACATGTCCGCCTACCACATTCCGACGCACGCTCACCACTACACTCACTCGGGGAGAATATCCTTATATGACAATCACTTTTAGTTTGACCATTAGGTGTTAAATTATCTTGACTAAAGGTCTCACAGGGGGCATCACTCACAGAGTTGGAGAGTAAGGGGTCCGTCTCCTCACCCTTATCTTGTACTACGTGGTCACGCGTGGCGGCGGCGGCGACAGGGTGGTGAGAAAGTGGTGGCAGGTCATCGTGGGGGGAAGATGATGGTTCTCCATCCTGGTCTCCTGCTCCACCCTCACAGTCCCCACCACCGCCCATTGTTTGCCCGCCCACCACCTTCCACCCACACATCACTGCTCCCGATGACATGCTCACATATATTCTTTACAACAAATGAACAACGCTAAGCTCTAGTAGTGCTGCGGCAACCTTTTACACCTGTTTATTATTAGTTCACTATCAGAGATCCCTTCAATTTACAATTATTTATTAAGTTGTAAGTTTGTATTAAAAACTTTTTAGAAGATCTACTGATACAATCATATCTTTTATTATGGTTGACACGTGGTTCTCGGAGGGTAGGGGAAGAGAGGCAAGTGGCGGTAGGGTTGGGAATGTTGGGTATCACAGTCGATGGGTTGAGAAGATCGGTGGTTTGGCCAGTGTTGTCGCCCCTTCTGGAGGAGGAGGCAGACGTAGTGATAGTGAGCAGCGTGAAGGTGTGGAGGAAGAAGTTGCCCGCGACGCGCGCCAGTAGCAGCACCACGGCCAACACGCTCTCACTTGACCCCGGCCCGGCCATCACACTCCAACCTGCAACAACAAAACTATATCACACCATTTGTCAAAGGTTATCAGTCCTACACATGTACCAGTTAAAGCATCCTAAATGATACTTAAGTACATAGATGAATATGTTAATGGGGTGATGCTGGACTTCGTGAAGTACGAGAAAACCGGAACATTTGCATTTGTTTCCGGCCTTGCTGTATCAAGTATAGCAGGAAAACGTATGTATACATAAATACTGTATATCCGAATACATGGTAATACAAATCAATCCTACCTATAAAAGCAGATCAGGTATATCAGTACATTTTACCTTAGTAGGTCATAAATTCAAGAACACATCTATGAAACTGAATAAAATCAATAAATATATACTGTACTGTACATAATTTATTTATAAAAAAAATGGCACTCAACTTTCAAACTGTTTTGTGATGTACTGTACTTAGTTTGGGGGGAGACGTTTTCATATTTTATTTAAGTTTTATCATCATAACTTAAGTATTGGCACAAAATATTGATGATACTGCTAAGGCCCCACAAGAAAACAATACATTGTTCATGGGTAAAACTTCTGGTACAGCACAACACTTAATGTATCAAACTGGGATAAACCTATGGACACTAGTCATCACATTTCACTGGTAATATAGTGAACCTCTTAACATACATAAGCAAAGTCTCGCAAAGTAAGTAGCTGGCATAAGCAGTCTGACATAAGCAACATCAGACAAACCAAGACGCTGACATCAGCCAAGTCAGAATTAAGGAAAGTCACTGACAAACAGTCGCAGACAAATAATGAAGGTGGTTCACAGAGAGCCATTAAGGAGTGACAGGTGAGTGAGACAGGTAAACTGAACATTTAAATAACGAGTGGGTGGGAAGTTGCCCCAGTCATGTTACTGTTGACAATGAGATGGTTGAGTCTATGATCACGTCTGGCACCCGGTCAAGTGCCACACGCCAAGGTGACACCCATCTCGACCCTCGGTAAGAATAATGGTGAGCAAGCGATTTTTGGAGCTTTCTCTAAAAATAATGAGCAGTCACCTGGGCTCTTTGCCTCACTGCATCGTGAGTGAGCGAGTGAGTGAGGGAGAGTGACTATAGCATCCACTTGCTCAACTGTACACGACCCATCACACGTACAAGTCTGCATGGTGGTGGTGTGTGTATGGTTGTGTATGTATGATGGTTGTGTGTGTGTGTGTGTGTGTGTGTGTGCATGGTTGTGTATGTATGCTCGTTGTGTGCGTGTGTGTGTGTGTGTGGTTGTGTATGTATGCTCGTTGTGTGTGTGTGTGCATGGTTGTGTGTGCATGGTTGTGTATGTATGCTCGTTGTGTGTGTGTGTGTGTGTGTGTGCATGGTTGTGTATGTATGCTCGTTGTGTGTATGTGTGCATGGTTGTGTATGTATGCTCGTTGTGTGTATGTGTGCATGGTTGTGTATGTATGCTCGTGTGTGTATGGTGACGCGTATGGGCCAGGTTGAGAGTGAGGCGCTCTAGTAACTCGTGCACCAGGATCGATGCCCCACTCATGGTCGTAGCCAGTGGGTCGTGCACCTCCCACAAGAACGACCTACACACTTCCGGCTGGCTGGCGGCAGACAATCCACCGCCTCCAGGGTTGTGCGCGACATTTTTAGTTTATTTCTTTATTATTTCACCTCTTTATCAGCCAAATAGACGTTCAAAACTGGGTAAAAAAAAGTTATTTAAACATTTGAGGGAAAATCGGACCTTTACAACATTTAAACTAAAATATTATTTATTTTGTTACCTTCCTATTCCCTAGAATTTCCTATTCCCCATTTTTTTTACATAAAACACAAGCGCTTTTGGTGCGATTCTGAAAATATTTCACACGCCCAAACACACACCATGGAAGATATCACGTAAGAGGAAACGGCCATGAGTGTGAGAAGCCTGACAGTGTTATACAGTGTCCCTCCCTTGCTGTGTGAGGACCCCACACCACCCCCTTCCTCCTCCAACTACCCTCAACATATTTCACCAGGTTCTGGTTACTGAAGAAGAACAACCAATTTCTGTTTCAAGACTTTCATGTTTGGAGAGAATCCGAGTTATTTCACTATTAAATATTTATTTAATCTAAAAAACATATGCACACAATTTGCTAACAGGAATAAATGTATATAGTTACTGTTAAGTGAGAACAGTGTAATGATGACAGTGTTAACATACCTACCATGGTGAGGAGTGGATCAATGTTTTTAATCCCGGTTATATTTTTTGAAAGGTACACCTTACCTGCCCCCCCTCCCCCCAAGGCACAGAAACACCCTCACTACACCCGCCAATCTCCCACCCACCCACTCCAACAGCCAGTCTAGTGTGTTCTCCTTTAAACCAACCACTAATGATGAATGCCTCGAGAGTCTAACCCCCATCTTTTATACAACTAACATCATGATCTTTACTTGAGGGAGGGAGGTCGATGAATTCCAGAATGAACACTGCGACTCCTGTTGTCTAGGCAGGGTTGTCAAAATCCTTCGTCCTTTGTGTCATTATCTCAACAAAAATTTGTAAAGATAGTGTGTGTGTGTGTACTTCCTGAAGCTATCTTACCTGTGTGTGACGTGAGAAAGAACGTAGTCTGCCAAAGCTCTGACTCACCAAGAATGATATGCCAAACCTCTGACATTCATAGCGAAGACCAAACCTTATTTATTGAAACTGTTCTTGAGGCCTCAGATAAACACTCCACTAACGATATACAGGGGAACATACAACACGTTTTTCTTAATTCTCAGAAACAGTCTGTTGTCTAGTGTAGAAATGGTGCTCCAAGACCTAATATGCGAGGTTAGGTTAGGTTAGATCTAGGCACCATCAATGAAACGCGCACACACACCCCCACCCACCTCAGACCTATGACCTAGTCCGTGACCCAAGTTCTTAAATCTGGCCTGGGGTCACTGAAAAAGAGCAGGGCGAATTAATGGTCCTCACGAAGCAGTCTCTCTAAATCTTTGTCTGTCTGTCGCTTTCTCTGCGTACGTGTATACAGAGACAGACACACTAATCGATCACACACAGCCTCGCTCCTACTCTAGAGGGGAGGAGGGGGCAGCTAATTATAATGGCCTCTACTCTTCACGAGACGAAACATGAAACGAGCTGTGATCGACTCGTGATGAGAGAGAGAGAGAGAGAGAGAGAGAGAGAGAGAGAGAGAGTGTGTGTGTGTGTGTGTGCATTTGTGTGTGTGTGCATTTGTGTGTGTGCATTTGTGTGTGTATGCATTTGTGTGTGTGTGTGTGTGTGTGTATGCATTTGTGTGTGTGTATGCATTTGTGTGTATGTGTGTGTGTGTATGCATTTGTGTGTGTGTGTGTGTGTGTGTGTGTGCGTGTGCATTTGTGTGTGTGTGTGTGTGTGTGTGTGTGCATTTGTGTGTGTGTGCATGCATTTGTGTGTGTGTGTATGCATTTGTGTGTGTGTGTGTGTATGCATTTGTGTGTGTGTATGTGTATGCATTTGTGTGTGTGTGAGGTGTGTGTGTATGCATGCATTTGTGTGTGTGTGTGTGTGTGTGTGTGTGTATGCATTTGTGTGTGTGTGTGTGTGTGTGTGTGTGTGTGTGTGTGTTTGTATCACTTATAACAGCTGAGTGTGACGTCATGGTCGGGGCGGGGGTGAGTATTGATTGGATTCTCCGCACACTAGTAGCTGGGCCACTAGGTCACACACACACACACACAGGAAAAACAAAAGCTGCAGTATCTCGTGTCATTCTACAATAAATTAAAAAAAGGAAATCCAATCTATACCGGAAGCCGCGCGAGTCACCAGAAATAGTCTCCACTGTTAACATAAAACACCAAGAGAAGAACACGGTAATGTAGGCACTCAGGCGTTGACATGTGGCGGCAGGGGTGTTATCCATGGCAGACAATGTCCAAGGAGAGAGAGAGTGAGGGTGGGGGAAGGAGGAGGAGGAAAGGAGGGTGGGAAGGAGGGTGGGAAAGGAGGAGGGAAAGGAGGAGGGAGGGAAAAGGAGGAGGGAGGGAGGAGGAGTGGGAAAGGAGGAGGGTGGGAAAGGAGGGAGGGAAAGGAGGAGGGAGGGAAAGGAGGAAGGAGGGAAAGGAGGAAGGAGGGAAAGGAGGAGGGAGGGAAAGGAGGAAGGAGGGTAGGTGGGTCGAGACTTGAGAGGACTTCCGCTTTAGCTGCTGGTTTTCTCACCTCACTGGTTACATCATCATCACTCTACTGCACCAGAATAATATAATGGCGGACAGATATCACAAATAGTATCTGTGATATAACTGGAGTGTATGTACGTGTGCATGTGTGTGTGTGACAAAAGTGCACACGTACATACACTTGGGTCACAAAGGCACTTGGTCATTTCTGTATATATGTACACTGACAGCTGCCAAGCCTTGTGCACGACGGGAGACGAAGGTGATGCTGTATCTGCATGGTGGTCGATGCTCGAGAGTCTGAAGATATAATGCGTCAACAAACTAGTCACAAAAGTCCTTCGGTGTATAATTTATGATAACTCTTTACCCGTGGAGAGATGGCTAAATTTCCTCAGCTCGCTCTCTCTCCCCCCAACAATGAGGGGTCGTTACGCTTGGCTCGGTATCCGCTGAGACTGACTCCAAGTGTCCTTATTGGGAAAAGATGCTCCCGTTCATTCCTACACAAGGTCATCACACCGACTGGGGTTTGTATTACTTTCGCTTAACTTGTCCTGGTGACCCGGAGCGACCAGTCAAGTTATGTTTCTTCTGGCCGCGTCACTATATACCTAGTGGAGAGCTGCATCACAAGCTTCCTGGGTTCAGTTTTGCGGATTAATGGCGATATTCTACCAACTTACATTAAGAGCTCTGTTTCGTTTCACGTCCTCTGAAAGTTAATCCCTGACTTACAACACTATGTTAATCCTTGAAGGAGGTGAAAATTTCTCCTGGTGTAGAGTATTCGTCTTCAGTGACGTGTAGTCTCGTTCAAGATTCTTCGAACACTGCTGGAGACAGCT